ACTGGCACTGTTGGAAAGAGTCTCTGCCTCCGCCACTGGCACTGTTGGAAAGAGTCTCTGCCTCCGCCACTGGCACTGTTGTATGCACAGTGTGTGGCATCAACATTGGCACTGATGGGAGCACAGCCTCTGGCGCCGACACTGGCACTCTTGGGAAGCACAGTCTCTGGCACCAACACTAATGGAAGCACAGTCTCTGGCACCAACACTGATGGAAGCAGTCTCTGGCACCAACACTGATGGAAGCACAGTCTCTGGCACCGGCACCGGCGATCCTGTATGTACAGTCTGACACCAGCACTGATGAAAGCACAGTCTCTGGCGCCGGCGATCTTGGACACAGAGTCTCTGGCGACGGCGGCAGTATGAGCTGCGACGGCGACGTCCTGAACTGTGATGGAGAAAATGAGAGCTCGAGCTGCGGACTTGATGGTGATGAAGATGGATGTGGCAGCTCGGACTCGGGCTCTTGCAGGAGCGGTTCGGCGTTGGGCGATGCCTCCGGCACGATCGGAAGTTCGGGCGAAAAGGATAATACTTCAGAGTTGATCGTGGAAGGAGATGCCGCTGGTCCGGTGAAGGACGAACACTCCGAGAGCCGCGGACTCTCTGGTAGTGGCGTTAACGGCGGCAGGATTGGAGGCTCGGGTGAAAGGGTTAATGATTCCGCCTTAACCGCGGAAGAAGATACCACCGGTCCGGTGAAAGACGAGCACTCCGACTCTGACAGCCAGGGACTTTCTGGTAGTGGCGTTGACGGCTCGTCCGACCAGAACGGACTTTTACTTTTTTGGGCTTCGACCATTTCGTCATCCGTCGAATCGGATAGAATTTGTCTCCGACGTTTCACAATGGGCCTAATTAGAGAATGTGGAGATGATGTCGATGAAGATCCGTTCTGGTCGTCATCCGAGTCGATATCAATAATTTCGTTTTCGGAATCGTATACAGGTTTCTTTCGAATCGGTCCGCTGTCAGAATCGGAGTCTAGACAATTCTTCCGTTTTCTGAAAGAAGAGGTGTACCGCACGATTTCTTCTTCCTCGCTGTCCGACGAATCAATTTTGGATTTTGGCACTCCTGCGTTCTTCAATACCATCTTGGTTGCAATATCCAATTCGTCATCGTCCGAATAAGTCTTTGTTGCCAGATTGGACGCTTTCAGATTTTTTCGCGGAGCCCGGACTACTAATCGAGTTGTCCTCGATCCCTTCAAACACCTCCTGGCTAGACAACGTGGCAAATACCAATCGCTGTTCGTCGCCGGTAGACGTCGACTCAGCAACAGGTTGCTGGAAGCGAATCGTTGTCCGAACCGTGTCCATGATAGAAGAGTTTTTGAAAAACCTGCTCGGCATCATGGTATTGGCCACGTTCATCGACGTGGCCAGGAGGGTCGGACATTGCTTCGACCATAGGTCGAGCAATTCCTCGGTCAGCACCTCGTCCTGCCTCGTACTGAAATAGATGAGACCGAGGACGAATGGCCACAGAGTGGTCGCATCGAAATATTTCTTCACAAATGCTTCGACGGTCGCCTCGTCTTCGAAATTGCACAGGTGCATAACGAAGACGCGGCGACTAGACTTTTGAGAAATTTTGGTCACTACTTTGGTCACGCAGGAGAAACCGAGAAAGGTTTTCAAAGCCTTAATGTTTTTTGGAGTTTTAAGAGTATCATAATTATCCAGGCGGCCGTAATTCAGGTCCTCGTGCGACGCCATGTTAGGACGTATTAGTACGGATGAACATGTGGCGGCAGCGTTACAATCGAATGGTCGCAGGAGGTCCGATATTAAATTATAAAAGGCCGCCAGGATAGATTCGTTTTTAGACTCGACAACGAGGCGACAATCCCACACCCGCCGTTTTTCAATGATAACATACAATACATAAAAAAATAAAGATGTCATCAATTCCGATGTCTCCCGAGCGACAGACTCGTACTCCGTGGAATAAAAAAGTCCTCTAGAGAAGTCTGCAACATCAAAGTCCCCAGTTGATAGGCCGACCCCGGAGATGTAAACCCATGGATCGGTCAAAATGCTCGGATACTCTACGAGTTGCGCCAATTTAGATTTTTTTCTATCCGTCATTTTCCGACTTTCAATATTTGCAATTACATTCACGCATTGACTAAATTCCGACGAATAAAAAAACAGATTTATACACCAATGTTTTAATGGATTCGCAAATGTAATTTACCATGAGGGCCCTATCCTTTTCAATATTAATACTTAAGCCAATAAACTCGGCGAGTTCTCGACGCATCGTCAACGACGTTAGCGCTGGTAAGATGAAATATTGCAGGAGAATGACCTTAGTTTTATCTCTGCTATCGTGACTGAACGTGTAGCTATAAGGGTAAAATACTTTACCCTTGTAGCCGTTAAACATATTTAAAACAACGTGGGCGCGATTGCATTCATACCCTTGATAGTGAGTGAGCAAAAGAGGTTGCACCACGTGTTTAGGTTTTTCACGTGCGCCACGATAAAATACCCAATTTTCGCTGGAGTCTCCGTCCACCGGCAGCCAAACGGAATAGGGGGCCGACGCTACAGAATCCTCGAGAGACTTTAACAATTCCTTCGTTACATGTCTCTCGCTCATCATGCGGGCCACCTCTTCGTTAAGGTAATCGATGAATAAATGCCTTAAAGAATCAACGGGAGAATTGTCCAGATTAGCTATGGACCACATGGCGAAATGAATTAATAAAATGATAAGAGAAGATGGTTTCACCGGTACCGTTAGGAGGTCGTAGTCTTGCGGCATCTCCTTCCACGTCCTCGGAACGACGCCGGGAATGAATTTCACTTTGTCCTTGGTCATTTTCTTTCGTTTCAAACTTTCAAATACTTTCATGCTGGTCGAGGCTGGTATGGTGGAATGATTGAAGGTTGCTTTCACCGGCGTCTTGAGATGATGGCCCGGAGCTTCTCGGCGTGCCGTCGGCATTGGAAATCGCCTGGAGTCCATGTCTGCCAGTAGTAGTAGTAGTAGTAGTCCTGTCGTTGCTGCGAGGGAGAGGGCAGGCTAGTAGTCGGGGTCGTGTCTGGTAGTCGTGTCGTGTCGCCCGTTTTATACTTCACTAAGACCCCCCTCTCACAGCCCATGTGACTCTCTGGCGGCGAGCTATTAGTAGCATTGACGTCAAAAACCACTCGAATAACAACCGACCTTGCATATTTCCATCTCGCGTTACCGCTCGACATCTGACCTTGGCGATAAGACTCGCGTGAATGTAAGATCAGTTCCACGAACACTCGATAGTTACCAGTGTGGTAATAGGCTCACTGTTTTGCATATCTTGTGACTGTGTCCCGACCTTCAAGCCAAGCGCCGCATTCATTTCCCTCTTAGCAGTATTGGTCTTTTAGAGCGACTCTAGCCCTTTGATCAATCTTTTGTAAAACTTTCCTTTACTACAATGATCCTTACAATTAGTTTGGCGCAGATGGCCTCGTAGCTTTTGCGCCATTAACCCCCCAAAATCTCTCACGAACACCCGACACCAGACTTTGAAGATAAATTAATTTCTAGAAAAAATTTTGAGACGAAACTTAGTGTCTGTCCTGTGCTGGCTTGCTGATACGACTACCACGAAAATGTTCTCAATTATATAATCCCTTCTATGAGTCACTTTGTTTAAGCTTAAATTGAAACTACCTCCTATCCATTGTCTTGTCAACTTTTCAACTTTCCCGGTCATTATCACCACCCTTAGCAACACTATGGTTCAACACTCTTCATTCTAAAGGTCAAAAATATTAAAGGGGTGTTTTGTTTCTACCTAAATTTTTGTTTTCAAAGTTACCGTCCCCACGCAACACGAAGGTTAAACACTCTTAGTCACAAAATATTAAAGGGGTGTTTTGTTTCTACCTAAATTTTTGTCTTCAAAACCACCCTTAGCAACACTATGGTTCAACACTCTTCATTAATATTAAAGGGGTGTTTTGTTTCTACCTAAATTTTTGTCTTCAAAGTTACCGTCCCCACGCAACACGAAGGTTAAACACTCTTAGTCACAAAATATTAAAGGGGTGTTTTGTTTCTACCTAAATTTTTGTCTTCAAAGTTACTGTCCCCACGCAACACGAAGGTTAAACACTCTTAGTCACAAAGGGCAAGATGCCTTAGACTTTCCACGCTCCTCCTCCCCCCCCCCCCCCCACCCCCTCACCCCCCCATACAACTATCAGCCTGTAGCAACAACGCTCTTAGTCAGAAAGGGCAAGATAGCTTAGACTGTCCACGTTCCTCCTTTTCCCCCTCCTCCCTCCCCCCTCCCCATACAACTATCAGCCTATAGCAACAGCGCTCTCAGTCAAAAAGGGCAAGATACCTTAGACTGTTCATCAATTAATTGATGAACTGTAGTCAGAAATTGGACTTTATTTCATACCATACTGTTGTAGCTTGAAATGGTTTTGTTTTTAACTTATGGAACCTGCAATTTAGGTTTTTAAACAGTGAAAATGTCTTGTTTTCATGAGGCTTAAGTTTTTCTTTAGTTGCCTATGCCTACTATTGTAAATCCACGAGAGGAACCAACCTGCTACCAGGACAGTTCTCAGTGGCAGTCGTTCATATCTTTTTTGCTATGGGCTGGAATATATTTAAGAAAAAGTTTTGTTTGGAAATGGTTCTGGAACGTCACATGGAGATGCTTTTTTTATTTACATTTCTTTTTGTATTTCGAAAAACACATCTGTGCTTATAGCACTAAGCAGCTTAAAGATTTCCTTATACTGCTCCGAAACTCGATTTTTGTTGCTCCTGAGCTGCTCCAAAGCTGAACTTTTACTGCTCCAAAGGGGCATCTTTGCTGCTCCCAGACCTGCTCCAAAAGGCTGAAGCTTGCTTCCACCCCTAAGCCACCGATCCCCCCCCAAAGCTCCTGTCTATTAAGTCAATGAGGTGTCTAGTTGTGCTGAAGCAACATTTAGGCGATGCTGTAGGCCTGGAGAGAGAGCTCTTGTCCATCGTTGCAGGTTTCTCGAGACGCCTGGTCAGTGGCTCCCCGAGCGGAAGCAAGTGGTGCCGTCGTCGACACTCCCTGGTCCTAAGCATCTGTCCGAAGAGTCCAGCCTCCTAGCAGCAGCCTTACAACGGGGGCTTTGTACAGTCGCGCAACTCTGGGGAGGGAGGGGAACTGCCCTTACTTTGGCCACAGCAGCAGCTGTTCTACCGCATTTGCCATTTAGCACGGCTGCCCCTTATGATTTTGGAGTAGACTCGAATTATGTTGTAGATTCCTCCTTCGTCTTCCTCCCCTCCCTACAATCTTCGAGATATTTTTTTGTTTCTTTTTTTTTTTTTCCCCGTAGGGTTGTGGTTGGTGCAGGGTACCTGAATTTTTAGTAGTAAGTGTACCCTTCCTTCCTGTAAACTTTTTTGCTTAGTTTTGTACTTGGTGCTGACGAAATGTCTAGCTACAAAATTTGTGCTAAAGGGTTATTCCATTGAAGCAAGCTTAATGCTAACTTTTTTCTTCTGCTTCAGTCTGGGTAATATAACCCTGGTTTGTGTAAACTAAACCCAAGAGCAAGATTGTGCAGAAGTTCCGTCGTGGATTTTTTGATGTTGCGTGAAGGGGCATTTTACTTGCTGCTGTAAAGCGACAGCGCTTTTTTTTTTTTATATACGAAATGTGTACCTTCTATGAGGCTCCTCCCCCCTCCCTCCCTCCCTTCTGTAATGAAAAATCCATGAAAAGGGTAATTTATGGTTTTGAAATAAAGATTGCATCTTCATAAGTTGCTTGTGATGACTTGTCTTTTAGTCTGATGCAACCAATAACAAAACCGCTATACGTGCTTCGCACCTGCCTGACGTCACCCCGTCAGCTCTCCGGCCACCACTGGAAAAAAGGGAACTCCCCTCTCTCCGGGACGACTTTGTCCCAGACGTAGCTATCCTTCCTCTAGAAGACATCACTCAAAATTTATACAAAAGCAGCTTACCTCTTCTGTGGTGATGCGAAATGGATGATGTAACGTCAGTTCAAGATATGTATAGACGCTGACGAACTGTGGAGGAGCTTCAGTTGTCCCGCCTCCTGTGCGAATTTGTACCCTTGAAAGAAGTTCGGCGTCTTTCAGCTTCGACTTCTCTAACTTGACCATAATTTGTTCATTGCGGAGAGGAAAGTGCCCTTCGTTTGTCCAATATTTAAAATTGATATTTTTATTTTCCTAGGAATATATGCTTCAAAAACCACTCGCTGCTCTTAAAGGGGCACTGACACCCCAAAGGTCGTATTTTTTTATTTTCTAAAACGATGCAAGTTGCAGTCATAGACACACAAAAAAACTCATCGCGAAAAATAATTTCCCCCGCGCGCGCGCGCCCTTTTATTTTTGGCGTCTGATTCTCTCGTCTTCTTGCTTCTTTTGATTCGTGACGTCAATAATCATGAAATTTAGAAGCTTTGTAGGCGACATCTCTAACATTTAATAACGGCAATCCTAAAACACGTTTAACGCAATTGCGAACGCACTAGGGCCCTTTTTGAAATACCAAAAATCGAGAGTTCGTTGTGGTGCCGTCTCCTGGATTTGTGTCCTCCCACGGAAAACGGGCGACACCGCTCAAAACCGGTCCGCCGGCGCTGGCTCCTTTCCTCCTCGCTTTGGGTCGCCATGGCAACAGTCGTAAAAGAAAGTGAACTCTCGGGCTCCGCAATATTTGACGTCAACGCACCGGCGCGGATCGCGCGGGAACTTCAAATTCGGCATTTGGAAATTGTTTTTTTTTTTTTACTTTACAAATACTAAATTTTCAAATTTTGAGGGTAATGTCCCGGCATTGTTTTCAATCGTTTCGGATAATAAAAAATAGGATTTTGATGTGTCAGTGCTCCTTTGAGCACTGTTTTGGCTGCTCTAAAAGTATCTTTTGCTGCTCCAAAACACTGTTTTGGCTGCTCCAAAGGTCACTTTTACTATTCTATAACACTGTTATGGCTGCTCCGAAAGGTGCTCCAAAACAGCTTGGGCCAATCTCATCGCTGTTCCTGTGACTGCCCCGATTCGTTGAGTATATGCACTGAAAATCACCCAGTCGTGGGCGAACTGGAGAGGCCTGGTTTTTACAGAGAAATCTAATGTTCAAAGTTTTTGGAAGACTATTTTAGGTGCCATGTTTGCGCGACTTTTTCCGTCCAAGCAAAGATAGAACTGGTGAGCTAGATTTCAGTTTCATTTACGTGGCTGGGAAGAAGAGCAGATAGCCCGAACACCTACGTAAGTTACTTCTGTTGCCAAAGTTCTGCTGCAGCGGGAGCGCGTACCCAGGCTACCGCGCGGCAGCACATTTTTGCGTTTGAATTGCGCGCTTCGCAGTGTAGAGCCGGGGTTTGGCTCTGTAGACTCCGTAGAACAAGCCGTCGCCTATCCGGATGTGCTTTGAGGTGGTGCCACTGGTGGGTTGGTGCATCTAAACTTCTGAAGCCCGTCTAGAAACATCCAGAGCAAGCATCATAGTGACCCCTGGTGACCCTAGCTGTGAACCCTATGGGCCTCCTGCGTTGTCCAGGGGGTGCTGCGAAAAGGGACTTCTTGTTACAGTGCCTTAATGTTGCTGGCGCAGCCGGCAAGCAACATTGGGCGCGTTAAGTTAGTGAGCTCCAGACTCCGGACATCTGCGCTCGAGCGCGCGGGTTCGGAGCGTAGCTTATAGCCGATTCACACGACGGACTGATCCGCGGACGGATTGATCACGTGACGACATATCCGCGGTTCGTCCGTCTCCCAAGCGCATCCACACGAGGGAGACGACGAGCAGACGCCAGTGAGGACGGACCGAACCTGTTCGCACCCCACAGTGCCGCGAAACTCTAACATCGCACAGTAGCACCGTAATTGTCCAAGAGAGTAATCGACGGTTGCTACCGCGATAAAGAATCGTACGCCGCTGCTACCTACAGATTGAGAACAAAACACCGGGACAGGCTTCGCGCGAAGCGCCACTAACTTTACTAACCCAAAGCATGACAGTGACACAGGCATGATCCTGCCCGAGAAAGCTTCGGCGTAGACGTGACGAACTTCTGGGCTCGCTGAGGGGCGTTTGGAGATGCCTTCACACACTCCGCGCTCGTGCACAACACTCAAGCACACCACATCCACAAGAGAAGGCTTGCTCGGTGAAATCCTGATTGGACGTGCAAGAATTATCGCGGCGTGCTAGACTAGTTTTGACGGGAGCTTCTTGACACGGACCCAAAGGAGCACCGGAACCTGCGTACCTGCGTCCCGTCAGCCGGACAAAGTTTCTGTAGTTTCTCTCACGCGTGGAACCAAGAATCGTACGACAAAATGAACCAACGAACGCACAAAACACAACGACGCGCCATTTTTGTTTTGAACGACCAGAAGCAAAATACCAAGAAAACCATGTACCGTTGCCAGACTAAATGCTTTCCAAGTCAGTCTGCCGCCAAACGTCCGCGAGTGAAAAAGGCGCTCGACTTTATCAGTCCGCGCCTCCGCGGAGGAGGCGCGGATCGCAGGAATCGGTGACGTGCCCGTCACGTGGTACACGGTCCGCGGACGAAAATCGCGATTTGGTCTGTCGTGTGAATCGGCTATTAACGGCGCACTTTGGTACCGAGGCGCTATCTGACGCCTGTTTTTTTAACGTTTCCGGTTCCGGCTTTCCGGCGCGCGCTTGAACATGGCTCTCGTCCCGTCGAAACATCGAAGAAGTGTTTGGTCGATGAAGACTTAATAATAATGCTTGCCACTGTACCCGCTACACAGACATATATACATAAAGTGCGCGGAGACGGCGGCAACAGCGAGAGCTTGTATTTATGCTGCACGCTGTTGGTGCGGCGATTAAAGGTACGCTGAACGCCTGAACGGCTCGCCTGATTCTGAAATTGCGGTAAGGTACATGAAGAACTTCGACAAGCATTTGAAGGACGTATGCATACCTTTCTACACCAGCACCATGCTTTTTTTTTTTTTATTTTCCATTTTCCACGATGACGGAACGACTACACGAGCTGCCAAGCAATCGCCGTCGAAGTATCCGCGCATCCAAGCAGGCGCGACTTGCGCGTCCGCTTGGCGCCGAAGTCCCTAAAGACTTCGGCGCAAGTACGAACGACGCCCAGAGCTCCGAGCACTGCATCGTAGCGCAGAACGAGCAGCTTCTACCCACGACCGGCCTACCTCGGTGCCGTTCCTGGGTAGGCCGGAGCCTTTCGGCCGCGGGGTTCGGTTGGTGCGGTCGCGGTGGCATCCTCGGAGCGTTCGGAAGCGAACTCGCTCGCCAGGGATTGCGCAAACCCGACGCCTCTGGTCCAGATTGGCCGGGCGGTCCGGTCCGGAGTGTCCGGAGCCCAAAACGCTTCGGTTTTGATGATTCTTCCGTCTCGTGCGAGACCACCGCCGGTGAAACCACAGCAACCACAGTTCGTGAAACCGGTGAAACCACGACCACCGCGCAAAACCACCGCGAGTAACCGCGAGACTGGCCGCGAGAGCGGAAACGCGGTTTAGCTCGAGTGCACTCTGACCGCTGGAGCGCGCTCGAGCGCGTTAACTTAACGCGCCCATTGAGGCACTCTAGCACTTGTTTTGGGTGGTACAGCGTCTCGCACTGCCACGCATGCAGAAGCGTGCCTGCTCTGGTGCGGAGCGCGAGATCACGATGAAAATACAAACAACAAAAATTCGAAAGTCGTCGAAGCTAAGACGCTAGGAGCGTGAGTAACGTTGGCGTGAGCCAAGAGATGCCGTTTCACGCGTTCTAACATGAACAAGAAAAATGAAAGCGTCGCAACGCTGGTGGGCCGCCCCCAAATCAAAATCCTGGCTACGTGTTTGCCGTTTGTGTTGCATAGTTTATTTTTGTAGTGAATAAAACCCTGTAAATATTTTTTGGGGCACCCTGTAATGGATTTTTTCCAAATACCGACGGCACCAGGCGGTGGCTGCACGAACTAAATATCAAGGAAGTGACCTACCTGCGCTACCAATCGATAATGGGAGCTACGCTACCAATTGCTTCGCTCTCTGAGCAGCGTCGCGTGCCCAACGCGACTGTAAAGAGGGAAATCCGTAGCGTCCACCGAAACGTCGTGTTTTTCTTTCCGTCCACTTTCTTTTTTTGTGTAACACAATTATATATATGCTGCAATTACGTGTTCTACTCGTCGATCTACAACCTTAAGGCCCGTTCACACTCTTGCAACCGAGTGCGACCGAGAGAGACCAAACCGGTTTTTAAGCCTCTTGCGATCTCTTAGGACCAGCTCCGCTCAGTGCATCCGGTCCCAAGAAGTCTTTCTCGGTCGTAGTCGGTTGCAAGAGTGTGAACGCGCCTTTATTCCGAATTTCCTCGATTTTTCGTGCCGACTTCCACCGCTTGGCATCGGGCGATCGCGCGTGCGCAGAACGCTTCTCGGAAAAGGTCCATTGCTTTTCCCGAGGAGCTCCCAGGGGGGTAGCGTTTGTGTGTAGGGGTGTCGCGAACTTTTGTCGAACCAGATTTTTTGGTCGAACTTCCGGGGTCGACTGAGTCGAACCGGTTCGACGAACCTTCGACCTTTTCACCAGATTCGACCGGTTCGACTTTATGGACAGTGTGGCCAGACCTTAATACAAGCATGTCTAGGTTTGGAGAATTTTTTTTTTTTTATGCAAGGGGTTATTTTATTTTGTGAACAGCTGCAATTAAAAGAAACCAATTCTAATCACTGAAGAAGTTAATAACTTAATTTTTAGTACTGTATTGACTGAAATAGCCAATCAGCGCTGCACTTAATTTATCTCTTAGCCATTACCATCCAATCCGAAGCCAAGTGGCCAGCCTGTCGCGCATGCGCACACGAGTCGAACCTCAATACAAGGTTCGTCGAACTTTCCACTAAAAGTTCGAAAAAGTCGAACCTGGTCGAACTCGAACCGCGACCGGTTCGCGACACCCCTATTTGTGTGTGTGAGGGGGGGGGGGGGGGGGGGGGGGGGGGGGGGGGGGCTCTGTCCCCTGAACTTCCCCGTAGTCGGCGCCTATGCTTAAATTCATTGTTTTTTTTAGAACTTGGCTTGTAAGTATATTGAAGCTGAACATGAATGATCTTAGAGAAAAAGATGTTTAGTGTTAAGGTGAAATTTCTCTTGAAGCTACAGGACACGACCTTCAAAATCTAACCCTAGCAAAATTGAGTATTTCTTCCTTTAAAGGGGAGCTCCAACGGTTTTTGAAGCACCCAAGCTGACTACATTTTCCAAATACCTTCTTTAACAACATCACATCTTTCAACAGGGGAGCCCTCTTTGAAAGTGGGCACTCTGCACTGGGCAGTATTTGTTTCCTGCTTCCAGTCTCCCTTTTAGTCACATTTATCTTTCTGGTTACATTTGGAGGACTCATGCAGGCTCTATTCCCCCTAAACACTCACAGGAACTCTGTGGCTGTGGAGCTACAGTTATTTTTTTGGTTACATAGGATTGAGTTTATTCCTTAGAATCACTGTTAGAATTAGAAACCTGTTAGGATTAGAAACCCCTATGATACAAACAACCACTTATGGCTGATAGCTTTATAAAGAATATAAAGGCCTGGCTCTGACGTCTTTTTTTTTTTTTTTTTCGACAATGACGATGAGCGGGATGAACGAGTAGAACCCGTGTCTTCATCTCATGGCGCCAGGCTCTGCAACGCTCCAGAAAGGTGATTTTTTTTACGTGCAAGATGGCCGTCCGATGGCCGCCAGTCACTATGTGGCCGGTGGCCGCTCGTGCAAACAGCGACGTCAGCGACCAAGCAAGGTGCGCAATCCAGTGTGGTTCCATTAGGTTTTCAATTTTATTTTTTTACTAACGGTTTACTAGGAACTTTCTATTTTTATTCGACATTTCTGTGCACCTTTCTAGTGTTTTGTTTTTTCCTTGTGTATCTTCTTTTGTGGCTCCTCCAAGTTGTCCAAGTCTCTAAGTCAAGTCGGTTTTGTAGCCTTCACACAACACATGGCGTGCGTACTGTGCGTGCTCGTCACTCGTGTGGCGATGTCATTCCCCGTGTGCCCCACCAATTTTCGTTTTTAGTTTGCCCCCTCTCTGTGATAAATGGCACATTCCGAAGACAAGTCCCAGTTCGCGAAGTGGGGGCCGTGATCGTGGCAGATCGAGTAGGGGAAGTCATAACCGTTTCAACAGGCGTGAGGACCATCAGCACAGTGACGCATCTCTGCATTCGCGGCGTGGGTCCCGGGGAAATTCCGATGTGCAGGAAACCGAGGCTTCGGCAGAGGACGAAGGAATGCTCCTTATCGTGATTCTAATCGCGGATTAAAAAATCGCCAAGAGTCAAGTGGAGAGTTTGCTGCTCCAAGAGGTGCCCAAGGCTCATTTCGATATCGTGGCTGTCATTATCCGCAGGAATGGGACACCGAATCAAAAACCGACGGGATACCGAAGCTTGACAGGGAGACAGAGGATTATTTTGCCGAGGTGTACACCAGACTCCTCTCTGATTTTGAAGATGACGAGGACAAAGGTAATTTTTTTTTTTTTTTCCAACGTATCTCGAATGAGTAAAGCTATACGCACCCCGGAGTGCGCTTCGGACGGAAATGGCTATACGCACTCCGCTTTTCTCGTATAAAAGGAGTGGACACAACGAGGTTCCTAAGCGGTGCCATGGCATAGGGGTTAGGATGTCCGTTTCATACGCAAGTGGACGCGGGTTCGATCCGCGGTGGGCCAACTTTTTTTTTTTTTTTTTTTTCTCAAACATTTTGTTTTGTCGAGGCATTTGGCGATATTTACGATATTTCCTTTTTTGCGATGAACAGTAAAAAAAAAAAAAAAAATCGAATGTTGTCGAGAAACTTCGCAGAACTAAATGGTAGCGGACTCCCTTTCCGGAGGTGCGATCGGGGACAGCGGGGCTTGGATTGCCGGCTGGACGCCGCGAAGCGGCGTGTACTGGTTACGCTTTGTAATTAGCAGCCGATACTGTCGCCGCGAAGCGGCGTGAACGCAGGCGGGGGGCTGTGTTAACGAGCGCCCCAGTGATTCACGCGCCGTTCGAAAAGGGTGGCCCGAGCGGCATGATCTCTCGGAGGGGTGCGTATAGCCATTTCCGCGCGAAGCGCACTCCGGAGTGCGTATAGCTTTACTCATCACGAATACTGCTTTTTTTTTTTTTTTTTTGCGGGGGGGGGGGGGGGGGTATTTAGAAAAAAGTTCACCTTGGAGGGGCTTTTGGCAGAGGGGTGGAATGGAGGGGGAAATCGCCCCCCCCCCCCCTTCCCACCCCCGTCCCTAAATCCACCCCTGAGGGACTCTAACACATTTTTTTGCAGCTCTTCGCAAGGTTTACGCAAGTCCCTGTCCTGTGACATCCAACTTACCTGTCTTACTAATGGCCTCTTTCAGAATATGGGCTCCTGTTATCCAATTCGCGGTTTTTCCTTGATTTCGCCAAAGCCTTTGATAAGGTCCCACGTAACCTTTTATTTCATAAATTCTCCACCGTAAGCATTGATCCTCAGGTACTAGCATGGATTATTTCTTTCCTTCGGCATTGTTCACAGTATGTTTGCATTAATAACACAACTTCCGCTTCCATTCCTGTTACACCTGGTATCCCTCAAGGATCTGTTCTTGGGCCTCTGCTTTTCCTAGTATACGTAAATGATCTTCCACTTCACATTTCTTCCTCTATTGTCTCTTTGCTGATGATTGCATTCTGGCAAGAAAAGTAACAACTCCAGGTTACCTTTTAACTTTGTAGAATGACATTAATAAAATAGCCAACTGGTGCATTACATGGCAGAGGATTCTTACCATCAAAACCCCAGCCAAATTTCGTTATTCACGGTATAGCCCTTGTTTATACTAAGGAGTATTGGTTCACATTACTTCTGATGGTATCGATGCTGCTGACCTGTCCTAAAGTGGAGCCTCCTCCGCGGGCGGGGCTTCGGCCGCTGGCATGCTGTATAAGCATTTGGCGGTTTGACGAGGTGGCGTGTAGGGGTGGGCCAGGTGGGTTAACATTTTTGTAATGTCGCTTCATGGCAGACTGTCGCAGCGAGGCGGCGTGAATGGGTGGGCTGGTTAGGTTAACACGCACCCCAGTCATATATGCACAACGAAATGTCCCTACAGCATGCAATTTGCGTAACAAGTGTCAATGAAATGTCATTGTCAATGAAATATGTGTGTGTGTCACTGGGACGCGTGTTAACCTACCTGGCCTTTTCAGAAGCGGTGACAGTCTGGGTGAGCCAGGTAGATTAATACGCGTCCCAGTGAAGTGGCTACAGTGTGCGGCGGCTAATTACAAAAATGTTAACCCACCTGGCCCACCAGTAAACACCGCTTCGTGGCGGTCCCACCACCTCGTCTGAACCGCCAAGCGCTCGCAGCATGACCACGGCCCAAGCCCTACCTGCGAAGAAGGCTCTACATTAGGGCAGTCCAGTGACATCAATGTGGAGAGCAAGTCGTCTGCTTCTTGCGCAAGGGTTACGGTGACGTCAAGACAATGCCGAGCTCTGATTGGCTTTGATTGAAAGGATAGTGCGTAGACCTCAATGCTAGATGCCTTGAGGTTTCCCCAGTATTTTCTTCAGTCAGACAATAAGAGCTTGGCGTTCTGATATCATTGCATCCCCCATGCAAGAAGCACACAAACTTGTGCTCCGCATACCCTTCTGGTCCCTCCTGGTCCCTCCTGCCATACTCATATTATTACTATCGTAGCTTCAGAACACCGCACTTTAGGGTATTTGCACCGCAACTTTAAAGGGATACTACAACAAAATTTCGGCGCTCATTTTTTGGTCTATGTGTTCAAAAAAGAAGCATCACATCGAACATACCAATATCTTGTTAAGAAAGTCAGAAAAAGGAATTTTAAAACGAATTAAACGATTAGCAAAGAGCACCTGGTGGATGTCGCTAACGCCTCGCTTGTAATGCCCATCTAGGAACCTTGACAGCTAGTGACGGAGGTTGTCTTGCCTCCGACTACGACGAGAGAAAAGGGGAAGGAGGAACTCCCCTCTTCTTGAGAATGCCTTTTGTGTGCCGCAGAAGTCGCTATTGTCCCCCTACAAGATTATAGAAGATTAACCCGTCACTCAAAATTCATACAAAAGCAGCCGTTTTGGTAGCTGGAACGACGAGGCCATCCTCTCGACGTCAGCCTCGCCGTAGCTTTGCTCGTCCTGAGACAACCTACGTCACAATTGCATTGGATGTCACATGGTCTCCGCTGGGCCTTCTCCGAGCGCTTGCCAGAGTGGGCCGTTTATAACGAAAAATACAGCCACCAGGCTCAAAATACAAACGTGCGATTGTCATTTACGGACATTGTGGATCATATTCAGCCTATTTTTGAACACGACGGGAACATTTCAAATTTTGTTGAAGTATCCCTTTAAGTAACTCCTCTCTCCTATGCGTAAACAATCCTCTCTACGTTACCCCTGTCTGCCCAAAAATGAAATATGCAGACTCGAATTGGAGTCCAATTCATTTTAGCAAACCTAATTCAATCAAGCCGAGCCGTTCGTTTCATCCCATCTAATTACTCATTTTTCTCCAGTGTCTCTGCCATAAAAGCCGAACTTAACATTCACAATCGTAACATTTCCCCCCCTTGTCTTTTGCACAAAATTTACTAAGACCCAACCTTACATCAATCCCTTTTTAACCTTTTACGTTTCTCCAAAGTTTGATCATTCCTGCGAAATAGCCTGGGCCAAGTGCAGCTTAACGGCCTACTTCTATTCTGCCCTTGCCAATGCCATTGTGAGCTGGAATGACCTTCTGGAGAATATTGTCCCCATCAGGCGACGACTCCTTGTTTCGAAACATTATAACTAATCACCTTAGTAACACCCACTCCCCCCAATAATGCCTCTGGCCCAGTGGCGTAGGCAGAGGGGGGGGTTTGGGGGGTCAAAACCCCTCCCGAAATGCCAAAGCTACCTCCCCCCCCCCCCCCCCCCCAAACGGGGCCCGCTCGCTCCCCTGCTCACGCAGTCGGTTTTACACGAGGCACGGAGCAACGGGGGAGAACGGACCATCTCCAACTTATAGGCTTTCAGAAAAAATTTTTGTGGGGTAGAAAAAGATCAAATTAATAAAATATGCAATATTGCTTAATTCATGTTTATTCGATGGGATGCGGACCTTGATCTCGGATATATAGAGAACGGATATTTCGAAACATTTGTGGGGCGAAGGATGACAAACTATCCTCACTGAAACACAGTTCAATCAAAACAATGGGAACATAACAAAACGAACACACGGTGATAATATAAATAATGTCAGTGATGTAAGGAATAATAAATGAATGGTAAAAAAAGAAAAAAACAATCGCACTGTAAGCAACGGGTGGCGCTGCGCTCACACACACCTTTTGTGATCAGAAGTACGTGCTTTCGACTAGAATATACCGCGAATAAAAAGGTAACTGTGACTAGTGATATTAGAATGCAATTTACAGGTTCTCTTTATCATCTCATTTATGCCAAGCGCCTACACATTAAAATGAAACCGCCTGCGTTCACGGAAAAAAATATCCCGGACGTCCTCCGCTTCAACTTTAATGTCGCGGTGAACATTAAAAAACGCTATACTTTGTTTCAACTTAGGTCCAGACGTAGCCGATGCTATAAGTGCCAGCTCCGGGCTTTCAGCGTCCCTGCCAAACACGCGCGCTCGTGCAGTGCAAGCACTGTTCAGGGCCACATGTTCACGCCTGTAGCATCGGCTGCGTCTGGAATTAAGCTGAAACGAAGTATAGACCAAGCATCGCTCACTCGAAGTGGACGCTCTCAGGTATGTTTTCAACCGTCGTAGTGAAGAGAACGAGCGCTCAGCTTCCGCAGTTGCAGAGCCACTAGGATCTTGAGGAGACGATGGACGTTCTGAAATAGGGCCTCCGGACAGAGGGCGACCGCCTGTATACCGCAGACGTGACCGGCGCTTCACGTTTCTCCCTCTTGCATTGGACGCCTAAACTTTCCCTATCTTTGGCGAAGTTTCCTTGACTTTGCGAAAATCGTCGCTCACGGATGCGATGAAGTCCGTCTGGCTTTCTGCTTTGTATGTCAAGGTGGCATTCGATGCAATACCTTATTACTCTTAGCTTAATCTCTTCGTTTCACGGAACATCAAAACTTGAAGAGACAAGCCTTTATATTCTCACTACGCACAGGCGCAAGGCTAGTCAAGTTCCTTTCCACGTTCGGCGTGTAGTTTCTTTGTGGTGCGTCATGTCATTTCTCCGAGTGACGAACGACGAGTTCGCACTGATGACTTCTTACCCCGAGGATATGCTGCTGCTGCCTTTGGACCACGCTGCAAGATAAAACGGCCTAGCAAAGATAACACTCTTTCCTTCGGCATCTGGTTCTGTAGCACGAATTTGTTAAACCTTTAATTGATGATAGAATTTGGTTTTGTGATTCTTCAGAATTACCTTCCTTCTAAATATGGGCCCCTGGTGTTTGTGCGTGGTCAGTTGCTCCAATTTTTCAGTGTCGAAAAAAAATTGTTCGCTGTTTAATTTTTTTGTTTGTTGTGAAACTATAGCTATTTTTGTGTTTTGTCTGGCCTTCACGCGTTGGTATTGCAGTGCTACTTCGAAAAGTGGAGGGAGTTGTGTGTTGTGAGGAAGTTTTTAAGGTTGGTGCGCCGCAATTACGACGACAGTAGAACAATGAGCCACCCCGCCCGTATTCCTGTAAATGAAGCCTGCTCCGTTTTGAAAAACGACAATGCAGCGTTACCCATTTTATCTTAACAGTGCCTCCCTAATCTTTGTCTGAGCGCCCGTGTCAGCGAGCTCATTCTCCGTCATTCAAGGGGGGGGGGGGGGGGGGGGGGATGCCGTTAAACCCCTCCCGAAATAAAATCCTGGCTACGCCACTGCTCTGGCCCCTAGGGTATTTGAAATAAATAATTCAAATGAGACATTGAGCATGTTTTGGCAAATCCCCTGCTTACGTGAGCATATTTCCACGAATCTAGGCAAACAGAATCGGCATGGAGTCTCGTCAGGCGACACCCTACGCTCGTAGGCATTAGTCCGAGTAGATTAAGTATAAACTTGCAATATAGGTTGGCAGCATTGTACCCAGTTGAAGCAGTGTTTTTTTGCCCTTTGCAGCCATCTTCGTGGCAAATGTGGCTGAGCAGACCCGTGGCAAGGAACTGGAGGTCTCCTGCTGCCGCAATTCTTCAGTCAGCCTCTGTGTTCAGATGGTTTTGTCCCTGACAACGGATCCCAGTGTTCTGACTCGTTTCATGTCAGCATTTGCAAGCAACTTTCGTGTGGTGTGCATGCACTGCATTGCAAGTCATATAGTTCAAACACTCCTGGAAGCTGCGCTCAAGTACCTGCGGGACCCATCTGCTGTGAGCTACCTTTGAAAGGCTTTTATTTATATTCTTCGAAGATCACATAAGCCTGTTTTTCTATGCAGTGTTTCTAGATCCTACGCTAGCTGTTGAATGCTGCACTTACAGATAATTTCTCACCTATTCTTAATCGGTGGTAATCGTTGGCCCTTAGTAGATTACTTGTTAGAGATAATGTGAAGGCTAATAAACTTGTTAAAGTATTTCTTATATGTATTTTATAACCTTATACGTTTAAGGAACACGATCGCCAGGATTCGTATGACCCTAGCTATGATAGGAAGGGTAAGTTTTAATGGAGCTATTTAATTTTGTATAATAGTTTGTCATGCATTCAAATCCTATGGGCTGATGGCAGAAGCAGAGACAGAAAGATATTAGATAGTAATAGGTTTTCCAGATCTTCAAACATATTTAAATATGAAAAATAAAGAAAAATTGCAGTTTTATATTTTGGATAAAAAATACTGTCCTGCAGAGGAGGAAAAGTCTTGCCGCTGAATTAGTTCTTTCAGTTGAGTTCAGTAGCGACTGGTGTCCGTGACAACACCATGGGAGGGTCACCTTTTGAACAATTAATTGGCTAACAAATTAGTAGGCAATTAATTCATTAATCATTAATTTGTGTTAAATGGCTAATTTCACAGCCCCAGTTGTGCATTATTGACATACCAAGTACAAATTCGGAGGCATGCAGCTAACATTGTTGACATGCTTGATAAGTTTCAAGAGATGGAAGCTTGTGAGATGACTTCATTTTTCCTACCATTTTTTTTCATGGCATGTCCATGGGGGTAATCCCATAGGCCAGAGTTCGCCCCCGGTACGCCTCCAAAAATTACCCCCTCCCCCCCACCTTCCCCCATCCCCTGCCAAAAATACCCTCCAGGACAAAGGGTATATTTAGTTGTAAGTCTGGTACAATCGGACACATTAGCTGTAAATAAGTTTGAGAAATTTGCTAGATAGAGTTCGCTGATCAGCTGATCCCCAAACAGACAATAGCCTGAAAAATGAAACTCCAGCTAACGACATTGTTTTCAAATCCACAGAATGTCGCTGTGGCTTTAATTGATATCTGTGAACATACTCTTTCAAAATGAAGACTGAATTTAGATTTTGGTCTTGTGAATAACAGATAAGCACCTCCAAAATGCTTTACAACTTTTGGGTAAGAGTTCTAATGTGAATGTTCGCATCATGGCAAGCAGGGCCGTACCCAGAAAAAAATTTCGGGGGGGGTTTTCGAGGACAACGGCGGCCATTTTGTCTTATTTTCGCCTATGAATCATGTGCATCGGTGGCATATAATGGAGAGTTATAGCAAACCGAAGAACCGGTCCCGGTTTGGTACCCGGTAGCCGACCGGTGCCACTGCGCGTGCGCAGAGGTGGAGATTAAAATCGGCTGGCTGCAAGTGCACCGACCAGGGCCGTACCCAGAAAAAAATTTCGGGGGGGGTCAGAACCCCCTATCCCCCCCCCTGGTTACGGCCCTGATGGCAAGCAATATTGAACATACAAAATCTTGGTGAGGGAGGGCTTAACAACTTTGTGTTACATGTGCCTGGATCATGAGAACATCTTTGCACATCCCCTTTAGTATTTGAGAGATTTTTTTTTTTATTTTTAGAGTGCAGCTCTTAGGCGCCCGTTTCCGGCATGAGCGGCGTCGCCTTCGCCTTAGCCGTCGGCGTAACCGCGCGGTGCATTATGGGTAAATTTCCCTGCTAAATCTAGCGGAAAAATTTTCCCCGCTAAAATTTAGCGGAAAAATTTCTCTGCTAAATCTAGCGGGAAAATTTCCCCGCTAGATTTAGCAGAAAAAATTCCCCGATAAATCTAGCGGAAAAATTTCCACGCTAAATCTAGCGGAAAAATTTCCGCGCTAAATCTAGCGGGAAAATTTTCCCGCTAAATCTAGCGAAAAAAATTCCCCGCTAAATCTAGCGAAAAAATTTTCCCGCTAAGTTTAACGGAAAAACTTCCCTGCTAAATCTAGCGGAAACATTTTCCCGCTAAATCTAGCGGAAAAATTTCCCCGCCCAATCTAGCGGAAAAATTTCTCTGGGGGGGTCACCCGCCGAGGTCATGTGACACCCCCAGGTTGCGTGACCCGCAAGGCCATGTGACCCCCCTCCCCCCCCAAGGTCACGGACCCCCCCTCCCCGAGAACATGTGACCCTCACTACCTTTCCCTCCTCCTCCTCGAGAGCTGCGCTCTAATTCGGCGTTACAGGGAGTTGTAAACGGCTTTCATTTTTTATCTTTTATTTTTATAAGCTAATATCCCCCTCCTCTGCCCCCAACCTCCGTTTCTCTGTCCCGCTCCCTCCGTCTCCGCTTTCCGCTGATTTGGCCCACTGCAGCAAACGATTGCCGACCCGTGCCATGGGCTAAATTGTACTTAGGCCTTGAACTGTCACTTTTACTAATTACGAGGAAGTATAATCAAAATTTGAACAGCTGTAAGTCATGTGCAGGCATGCCATTCAGACTGTTCTTTAAGTAGTTTTTTAAAAAATGTTTACAAATTCATGCATGAAGAGGGCTTTCGAGAGCTTTCATGCCAAATGAAGCTGTTTTGACTGAAAAAAAGAACAACTGCTGACGCTAGAAAAGCTACATTTCAATATATTACTGTTTGCCAGTTCACTGAAGCTGAAGAGGAATCTGCAGAAGCTGCCCAAGAGGAGGAAAACTGTCGAATCAAAGAAGAACGCTCAAAAAACAGCAAGGAGAAAAAGGTGAAGGATGAGGAAGGAGCCCTGGAATCAGAAAGGGAGACAGGGGAAGGAAAAGCTGTCATGGATGCTCTTGTAAACCCTCATGACAAGGTATGTTGCATGGAATTTTTAATATCGCTGCACGTGTTCTTGGTAAAAGTAGCTCAGTCCACCATGGTTGTTGGTCAACCACAAGCTTTGAATTCCAAATTGGGTCCTTGCGACAATTTAAAAATGTTTGCTGTCTTGGATTGTGTTTGGCATTATTAAACCTTGGCCACTTGGATTAGGCCACAAGTGAATGTCAAACATGTGTGCTGGTATTCCTTTTGAAGCTTATTAAATGTGTTTTGGTTAGATTGTACTGTACACCTCTATCATACTTTATCCTTTTTGTGTCGTGGGTTTGCAAAGCTTAATCTGTATGTGACTGGCACTTCACATTATGCAGTCAGGCTTTCATGTTCTTAAAGGCATCAGTTGCCGGATATAATAATTTGACAACTTTTAAAATTTATAAAAATATTAGAATATATAGAACAATTTTTGTGACCACCAAAACATGGAAACTATGTCAATAAAAAGCTGATGTCTGATTGCAGGGTGTAGAAATATCCACTTGGCCTCTAGGACCTCTGATGTCACCTTCCTCTGTGCTGCTGCTGATTTTGGTTTGACTGGTTTTCCCAGTCAAACCAAATCTTGACACCATATTCAAGTTATTCACAGAAAACTTTTTTTTTTTCTTAAGGGGGGGGGGGGGGGGGGGGGGGGGAGAGATTGGGCACCCCTTCTTCCAGTGCTGCGGAGTGGGCGCCCCCATTCCATTCTAATTCCACTCCGGGGAAATGGAGTTTCCGGCAATTCCATTCCTTTCAACTCCTTGGAATGGAGACACTGGGCCCATTCCCACTCCTGGATTGGCTGAATTTCGTTATCCCATTCCTTTAATTCCTAAAGGTAAAAAAATGGTCGTTGACAGACCAAACGCAGACACGACTTCAAAAGTATTCTCAAAGCACTCATTCTGCTAAGTCGTAGGGTGGTCACACAAAGTGCTTCGTGGCAACCTCCTGTCACTGCAGACATCGATCGCGCAATCAAGCGTAAAAAGCTCGTGAGTCGCAACAGACGCTAAAAATTAAAACCTCCCATTTTCTTTGCAAACGGATTGTGTATACCCTCCCCAGATACATGGTTAGTGTGTTGTTTGTTTCATAAGTCCGTCAAAATCTCTAGTTCATGCGTGGCACAAGAAGAAGCTGTATTGCTCTCTGCTTCGAATATTTCACAACAGCACCGCTAGTGCGCTGTTAGAAGCAGCGACGCTGCGTATATTTGCCCCAAATCTCCATGCACTGCGGCAAGAACAGAAAACCACACACAAACTGCATTCGGTATACAGCGCCAGCACAAGGGACTGTACCACCATATTATGGAACCTGCATTAAAACGTAAAATTTTAAGTTTGCTGTACATTCAATTCATTTTTTTATTTGTGTTCCACGCAAACACTAGATGGCTGGGTTAAAAGCAGGGAGTCGAATCGGTTATTATACCGGTTTGGTTCGAGTTGCTTAGCATTTTTTTCCGGTTCGGTTCTGGTTAAGGCACGTTTTTGAAATAACGGTTTGGTTACCGATTCCACCAAGCGTAAAGCAGTACAAAGCGGTTCTTGAAAGAAAAGACCACAGCTTTTAGTTGTTAAGAGAAAAAGTGAGTATAACACGGCGTCACCTTAATTAGAAAAAATTAGGTCATCAGAAGCCATGCTGCGAAAACGAGGACAGCAAAACAAATATATGCTTAATTTTGTTTTGTGATCTTTTTAAAAATTACATGGTTATACAGGCACTTGGAAACAGTAACAAAGTATAGTACTCACATGTGAAGTCAATCAGACAGCACGCACAGTGACACCGTGGCAATAGCACACACTGCACTCGCAAGCTACCCACAAAAACAAATTAGTTGCCAGTTGTTTAGATAGCAGTTAGGTCTGCCAGAGTATGACAACGTTGTACCCTCTGTACATGCTCATCCCGAGCTCATCCAAATTGAGACAGCCAACTATACTCGCACAGCATGCTCGAACTACTTACTCGAACGACTTAGTTAAAAGACACCGAAGTCTAGTCGAAATACAATTAAAACAAAAGAAGGACATAAAAAGAAATCAACGGCGACTTGCCGTTTCTAAAAAATGCACACACACAAAAAAAAAGTTTTTTATATTTTTTCTTTAAGCAACGTTGGTTTTGGGCGACTGGCATCCCGGCGATCAACACTGCAGTGTCGCGCTAATCGTGGCTTCGCCTCTTGTGGCCCCCAGATTTCACCAACGCGGAACAAGCGCGCCGACACCGTCAACTTTTTGTTTTTACTTTGTTCTGTTCTGCTTATCAGCAAGAAAAGAAAAGAAACACAGACACACACCACACACGCGTGCACGTGTGCATGCACATACAAACACAAAGAATAGCTCATTACACTCTCAGCACAGTCAGATATACTCCAATTCACCTTATGATGTGCCGCGATGGACGCTATGAACTACACAAACCAATCCAGAGTTCGTAGCTTGTCTCGTGACTTAAGCGCTCCCCGCGTTGCTCCGCCCAACTAGAAGGACATCTGAGCCCTCCGAGCTATAAATTGGCTCCAATGGCTCGTAGCGTCCTTTGCGGTTCATCGTTAGCTGAAGAAAAGTATAGAAGCTTACGCCTTCACGCCGACTCGCCGACTCGCCGACGCCAGTTCATGCTGCACATAGACGTGAAGAAATATACTTCTTTGTTTTATTATTACTGAGGTGTCCCCTTGTTGTCGGAGCTGTTTGTTTAGTCATAAATGACCCGCTAACGCCACCGTTGTATATATTTATTTGGCTTCGCGTTTCCACCCGCAAGAAGGTACGGCTCAGATTTTATTACTCCGAACCTTTTCCATTGAACTGGTAATTGCCACATGAGATTACGGTTCCGTTCCGGCTCTGGTTCAATATCGAATGTTTGATTTCGGTTACAGTTCTGTTCCGGTTCAGTAGGAAATAGCAGTTTTGTGCCGGTGTTCGGTTTGGGTTCGGTTCGACACCCTGGCTTAAAAGCTGCATGCTAATCGGGCATGATAACAACAGCCACTTTGTCGCATCTCGCAACACCTGGAATGACACCTTGTCTATCTACCGTTTGGTTGCTTCACCTAAGGCGCACCATTTTTATCCTCGAAGGAGCATAAGCCAGTGACATAATGAATCCGTCGGTCACCTCCAGGGCAATGATGCTGTTTCAAGAACCACTATACCAAGCGCTAGCGAATTGCACCATCAGCCCGAAAGCCCTAGATGAAAATCAACATAGCTTGCATGAGAACTGAGCCCATTCCATTCCTACTCCATTCCGGGCAAAAGGCATCTAATTCCATTCCCCCCAGTGCTGCCGCCATTCCATTCCCACTCCATTCTGGGGTCGCGAAAGTGCGGAATGATTCCAGAATCTTTCCCACTCCGGTGTGGCAACTCTGCAACATTGGTAGCTAGAACTGTTCTTTCATGCTGCCAAGAGACTGCACGAGCAGCCTTGCAGTTGGTGCTGTGCCAAGCAATCCTAGGGCCTCATCACATGACCCACCGGTGCCCGACTTTGCACCGGGCACTAGACAGACAGATCATCATCATCATTTATTTTCCTTGAGGGCCCCAGGGGGCATTATACAAGGGAGTGAACAATATGTTCACTCCCTTGTATAAGTGAGATATTGAAGAAGACTGATGTTTTGCTTTAAAATACTAGTTCTTTCTTTTTTTATGGCTTTTTTGGACAGTTTTTATAGAATGTGACAACTTTCTTCGCCATCACTCTGGCTTTTGGTTGGTGCTCTCACGGATCGATGCATAGCAACCCGTGCAACTTGAGTGTACGGGCGCAGTTTTTCCCGCATATTGTCTCAAACTTCTTGTAGGGTGTGCCAAGAAGAGAATATGTCACCTCCTCTCAAAATTAAAAGATTGGCACTTGTTTGTGCGAGCATACTGCTAATAATCCTTTTCAAATTAAGAGGGCAACACTGTCTGGACACTGTGACACAACAATTTGGGTGAATCGTGTGGGGCACCTGTGACCCAAGCCGCGCGGGATGTCATTTGTTTTCATATGGTGCGTCGTGGGTCACCGGTGGGTTATGGCAAGTATCTACCCAGCGCAGAGCTAGGTCAAGGCTAATAAATCAAATGCAAAAGTTTGTTTTTTTTCAGAGTTGATTTTTCTCACATATGTTGCTCCCATACTATGTGAAAGTACTGAATATTCGAGGCCTTACAGCTGGCATACACAGCGTGAGCCACGATCCGGTGAATGTGTTAATTAGGTTTTTGTAATTTTCATAAAAAAGACTGTTGGGTGGGTATGCAGACTGTTTTGTCTTGCACTTCTGATGACCTTCACCCAAACTATGGTGCAAGATAAATGTAGGTGTGGAGACCGCGCGCGTTGCAGCTGGCAGATAAAGTCCACGATGAAATTAAAAGCGCACAAAATCCATGACAGAAAGGAGGACATGTACGACAGACAAGCGCTTACTCACAGCTGGAAGTTTAATAGGACTTTAGAAAAAACAAAGAATGGCCCTTCCCCGACTGCACATGCCCCGTTCAATAGCCCCCCCCCCCCAAGTTACAGTCTTAAAACGGAAGAAAAAGAAAACACTTCTAATGTGCTTGGGGCACTCCCGCCAATAAGAATGCTTCCTCAGCATGTGTCAAAGCAAGTGACGGGCAGCTTATGCAGCCATCACCCAAAGTTTTGATATTGAAAGCCTCCAGAACCTCCCGCGCTCTCTGCTCTTAAATCGTCCTAAAATAGTTGTATTTTCAAACACAGGAGTGCACTCACACCTACTGCAGTGGACTGCTAAATGCCCAGACGGAGTCGTACGAAGAGTGTTTCAGTGCTCCCTCAGTCTGTCATTAATGCAACTTCCCGTTCGGCCCACATAAGCCTTACCACAAGACAGTGGAATGCAGTACAAAATGCCCACACAGCAGTGGACAAAACATATGTTTTTTCCCCACATGAAAAACGCGCCTCGCTACTCACCTCTGTAGCCTGCGTCGCCGTCCGCCAATGACCCTGGCTAGTTTTTTTGCCCCAATTTTTACACAAAGGGCGCTACGCTTCGTAATTTTACAAGATAAAACCGACCTCTGAAATACACCTTTGACGTAAAGTTTAGATTGCTACGTGAAAGCGCCGATTTTTACGGTCCATTTTAGATCGAGCCTGGTTATTTCAAACACTCTGTATATCTTTCACCGTGACCTGAACACAAGTTTCTTTTGGCATTCATTTTTTAATAAAAAAAAAAAAAAAAAAACTTATGAAGTGTAGTGGCTTTCTTCGAGTGTATGTAAACTCATCAGAAATTCACAAATGAAATATTTTCTTTCTCAGGTGACATACTGGGTATTGCATCTTGGACGTTTCTGCCTGGCCAACCTTCAGGAATTCATGTACAGTCCTCTGGCAAGTCCTGTAATTCGTACACTGGTGCAAGTCCTGGGAGGCTGCAACAGCAAAGGCCTGACACGGACGCGGAAGCGGACAGATGTGGCTCTTGGTGAGATCAGTATGATGTAGACATGTTTGTTTGGCAGCATGTGCTTATCTGTGAGAAAGTAGCAGCATTGTAAATGACTCAGATGTTGTCTTTGCTATTGGGGTTGGAGATCCAATCGTCGCACCCCTAGCGGCTAAGTCGAGAACTAAACCCATGGGGGCAACCACAGCATGAATTATTCGTTTGTGTTTCTGACGCAGCACTCCGCTGACGTATAAATTAACACGAGTCTTAGCTGAATGCTGACACAGCACTAATATCCTATCTGTGCTCCACGCTCTGTCGAGGAAGAAGACATAAAGAATCCTGTCCACAGGCCTTCTGTTATGTAAACACCGACCTCTGTAAAAAAGCAGGCTGGACAAAGTGCACCCTCTGCTTGATCTTGCCAATGTATTTTCTATATTTGGTAGCAATATAATGGGCAGTTTCTAGGGCATTTTGATGTACCATAGAACAGAACAGAACAGGTCTACTTCAAGTTTAAGATATGCACAAAGTATACAGTTGAACCTAGATTTATTGAAACCTGATTTTACGAATTTACCGATTTAACGTACGAATTTGGATTTTCGCGCAGCCTATACGCGAGGTCTCCCTTTCTCGATTTTACCAAGTTTCCTATTTAATGAAATAATTAGCGGGTCCAGGTGACTTCGTTAAATCGAGGTTCAACTGTGCTCACAAACAATATGAGTGAGAACTCTCCATGTGGCCTTTTGCTACGATTGTGATCTCCCTAATGCCCATTTTCTCTGGACTTGTCGAATAGTTCAGAAGCCTAAACTTCGAGTTCCAGCCCTCATTTGAACCAGGCATCTTTATGCAGAGAGCAACTTTATCTGCTCCTCTTACAGGGGGTAAACGGTGACATCGCTGTGTTGAGCTTTGATTAGAGGATGGAGTGGGCATAGAGATATGGCATTGTCTGCTAGTCATGGCAATACTAGCTGCCTTGGTTTTTCTGCAGCTGTCGAAACATAACTGGTTTTTTATAGTTGCTGGGTGAGAGCCTACCTGATAGTATGTTTTCACCAAGCATTGGATTGTAGTGTGCATTTGTGCAGCTTACTTCATTTGTTCTAAACTGTATTTTGGGATAGCTGTAGACTAAGGGGGCAATATCAGCTGCTCATAAATCTGATGGGAATTGTTTTCCTTATCCTTTTAATTTATTAACCCTTAATAATTTTCCTTATCCTTTTAATCTATTAACCAATATGGTTTAATTTGGTTTGACGAGCTGACGAGGTCAGCTCATGAAACTACATTTGACGAGCTTGCCTCGTCATAAGCCATGGAAACAGTGCCAAAAAAGTTGTGACAAGGTGAGCTTGTCATAAACCAGAAAATGGATAATCACTCGTGACGAACTGATCTCGTCACGAACTGTTAGGGGGTTAAATTGAATTTGGTACACTAAAATTTTTAGGGGTGTTCGACCTGTACTCAACATCTAAGCACTTTTTTTCTCTTTTAGCAGTATACATTTTTTGAGAGCATCTACCTTGGTTTTCTTAGAAGAATAAAAAATCTGTAATTTTATCATTTTAAATAAGTTTTTTTTTTACAATGAGTACAGTCGCCATTGCTGAGGCACTGCAAATGTATGTAGGCACAAAGGAGGCCTCTGTGCACAGTATACATCTCACCTTTGTGTTCAACTGTTAATATATATTGCTTTCAGTTGATGGATATAAAAATGAATCTGTTGAAGCTGTCGAAGTCCCAGAAGAATTTGGAGGACTGCTCAAAGAATTTACCATTGCATTGAAGGAACAGCCAGATTTACTTGGTGAGTTGAAGTATTTTCTTTGAACTGGAGTTTGAAAAAAAAATAGATTTTCTCCATCCTACTGCAACATACGTAGCATCACCTATACTAAAGGTCATGGAGCTTGACTTGTTTATTATGCGCTCATTTGTTTTTTTGTGTGTATTTGTTGCAGATGTTATCACGACCAGCATTACATCACTACTGCTGCAGACATTAATGCTAGTTCTGCACATAAAGGATCAGAAGGCTCTTGCATCCCTTTTAAAGCACATCGGAAAGACCCTATTTGCTCGCTCAAACAATGAAAGGTATGTGCTTGTCACTAAATTGGATTTACAAATAGTTTAAAAACTACCAGTTACAACTATTTTGTCATTCAGTTTTATGGGCAGGACACTCAATTTTCTGTAATGCAGGGAGCCTGCACCTGCGCTTCTGGATACGAGCGCCTCCTTCATGGTGGAAAAAGTCTTCAAGTTCTCTTCCGCCAAGTCATTTGCAAAGATATGGAAGAAATACCTATCTGGGCAGTTTCTCACGATGGCGCTGCATCCTGTGGCCAACTTCTGTGTGCAGCGGGCCATTGAATGTGCCGTAACTGCCGAGCAGGTGTGTTGCTGTCGAAGAGCCCTTGACTTTTAATTCCTCCTTGCTGTGAGTGCAGTACTGCTACTAGACGTAGATGAGTGACATTGCATGAATGCACAAAGAGCTTTTCACTGACGATGGGCGCACGTGCAGATATTTCGGAGTGGTGCTATTTTGGAACCATGTAGAAATTTTTACCTTTTTTGAATTCATTCACCTAAAGATATTCTTGATCCATGTGCTTTCATGTTCCTCTTTGGAATTGTCACAGTGTTGATTCCATCAAGCTGTAAACATGTCATGGGAGGAAGGGTGCGTACAGATAAGAATGGTATCATTTATGCAGTCACATCGTCAGTGCGGATTACTACTATTCTTTTAAAGTTCTTGGGCGTGTTGATGCCTGGGATTAAAAAATCTCCTACCTTGGTATTCAGTTCCAGGAAATGTATGAGGAGCTGGCACCAGGATTTGACGACCTCCGTGTGCATGGACACACGACGGTCCTAGTCTGCGTGGCTGCTGCCTGTGCCCGCTTTTCAACATACCAGGCCAGGTTCTTAAAGGTAAACACCATTGCTCTGATTTTTATACTTTCGATTTGAGTGCCTGGAGAGGAGGTTGCAGCCATCTTAAGCAGAATTTCTACAGACCGGTAATTGATATTGAGAAAGAAAGAAAATTATGTGTGTTTGCTTGAGCCTGACTATGTGTCTGTTGTGTCTGTTGATTTGTGGCCAGTGGCATAGTAGGGGGGGCCAGGGTGCCCCGGGTACCAGTCGTCCCAGTCACATGATGTGAGAGGGGGGGGGGGGGGGGGGGTGCTACGAAAGATATAAAGGTTCCGGGTGCTGGAAGGCCTAAAAAAAATTCGGAGGGCGCCTAGGCACTTCTTATAAGTGCTCAGGCCCCCCCCTCCCGGTTCCGGAGCCCCTGTACGGTGTATAGGTGTACAGCAGTTAAACAGTTTTTCAAACGCTCATTGATTCATCAGCGCAAAGTATGATCACTAGTTACTGTCAATGCTGTCTAAAGCTTCTCAAACTTGTCCAATCCACTTTATCTTCCTTGTTACGTAGCCGTTACATCCTCTTATCAACTTTTTTTTGCTAAACTGTAGTTATGTCGGTGACCAGCCGCATTTTCGTAATTCTGTTACAGTGTCTATCTTTGTCAGAATTGACCTGTTTGGATTCGGTTCCTTTTCACAATTTTTGGCCAACCTCCGATATGTGACACAAAGATCTGGTGAGCTTGAGCGAGTGCGAAAGACTGTGCACACTATTTCCTCCTCCGAATCATTCTGCATAGGCTGTTTTGTGTGCAACGCTGGTGTTACGACTCGTCAGCTTAGTATTTTCCGAGCTCATGACAGCCTTTGTCACCTGCTCAATGATGATATGGTTGTGTGGGGCGGTCTGATCATTCTCTTTCTCCAGTGAGTCAGTTAATAGCCATTCAATCTTCACTCTTGGGAGTTGTCCTACTGTCCTCATTGGATTACCATTCAACTCTGCTGAGTTCTCTCCTTTGCTTGAGTAGCTCGGTTGGTTTGCTAGTCTGCTGTTTCTGAACTTGGGAATGCTTTGCTGGGTCAATCCCACATTGTTTGCGTCTAATGATCCGACACATAGGACGGAAGTAATCAATTGTGGTGATCCGGTCAGGAAGCTCGTTGGCAACATTGAACCTTGGAAAGTCCAGCCAAAGTTGGTGTTGATGGCTAGCTATCAGATTATTATTGCCCTTGCAGCAACGCACTTCGTTTCTTGTGATCATCCATAATTTATCAGACTTGATAAGGAGGCTTATGCCAGGCGGAGACGGCACGCCTGGGAACATCAGCTTGTTGGCGATCTTTTCTTTCTGTTCAACGCTGGAAATCAATTTGTCATTGGTAGGTGCTTGTACAATGTCGTTGCAGATGAACAGGACTTCCACTGCACTTCTTTGCTTCATCAGACACTCTGTCTGGTCGAACTGACTTTGCAGCCGAACTTGGACATGTTGTACTTGCTGCCATCATACTATGGGATTTCCGAATGTTCTGGCTGAGCGTGGTAATTTTAAGAACTTTAAGATCGAGCTTGCGGGACAAATCGTCACAAACAGATGTCCGCTGGCTGCCTCCGTCATTGATAGCACGAAAGTAGCAGCTCTGATTTTCAGTAATAGCCCAGGCTCAAATCGTTTGAAGGAGGACGTCGGTGTCAGGAAGGCTGTCTTGACTTTCAGGGCTGTCGTTTTGCACTCTAGCAATGACGGTCTTTTGTCCAGTGATGCTTGCTTCCAGTGAAGGTTGCACAAATGGATGTGGTGTGTCCTCCTGAGCAAGAGGAACATGATAGCTTTCTACGACTGTTTCTTGCTCGGTGTCACCTCTTGGTTCATCAAAAGCATCGCATATCATGGGATAACCTTGTTTTCTTTTCCTCAAATGGTAGGTCACCAGTGCAGGTTGCAGTTGTGTGATCAATCGTTCTACAGAAGAAGCAGCCTAATTCAGTATTGTACAAGAGCACAGCACTGCAGCTGCTGATTGTGTGTCTTCTGGGTTCTGGACGCGTCTCAGTTACTCCTGCTCTTTCTCTGCACTCCACTTCGGTCTGAAGGAAGCTCAGGATCTTGGACAGCTCACCTTCAGCTGGGAGGACTGCAGGTGCAGTGCCTACCAGCTGAGTGGCTATTTGGATCCTCTGCTGTTCCAGGTCTCGGTAAAACGACTTTGGTCCGCGTTGCTGGAGAGGAAGAGTAAGCCCGTCGGTAGTACTCCACGACCAGGTCCTTCAGTAGGCCTTTGGGCATGATGTCTGCCATCTTCATGGAATACGCCTCCGACCCAATGCACTGAGCTTTCAGTCTACGGATGTTTATTTGGATGTGGTCCTACATCCGGCTTAAACTCTTGGTGTCGTTTCGTGACTTGAAGGAGGGCAGCGTTCGCAGTTTTGCCAGATGATCTTGTACGATGCATCGTCTATCACCGAATAGACCAGAAAGTATCTGGATCGCCTCATTGTAGCAGGCGTCAGTAGTTCGTAGACCTGCGATCGCTGCAACCGCTGGCCTGGTAACGAGAATGTGTAGGTAGTGAAACTTTTGGCTTGTTTCCATTTACCGCACTAGAGAACTGCTCCCAGAAGCTCTGTCACTCACCAATCTCACCGTTGAAATTCTGGAGCTGTACCTTGGGTACCTTGACTCCACTCTTGCACTGTTCAAACTTCTCGGGTGCGTCGTCATCAGGGGTGTTGGTGGCTGCAGTTTTCTTTGCCGGAGGGTCTATGCTTTACTACCAAGCAAAGCGATTGTTAGGGTGGTATGAGATATCAGCCAAAGCCAGCAGCAATGCCAAGTCTCACATCCAATCAGGATCAGGAAGGCTTTGCGAGGATGTTTTTACAAAGCTAAAAAAAGAACAGCAGAAAACTTTCTGTTTTTGTGTAGTACTGGACAACCCCCTAATAAGGCTCTGTGGGACAAAAGTGTTGAAGTGAATGATGTATGGTACAAGTCCTGATTCCGGACGACATTTATGCTATATACGACATACCTTAATTATTCATTCCCAACGCATCACGTTGATGCACAGTTATTGCCGTTAGATGAACGTGAATAATCAACTAACCCCCAGGCATGCCATTTGGAAATAAATGTTCCCTTACACCACATTTGCCACCAATTATACTTTTTGCACCATTGGTCCTCGAGTGTATGCGTGCGTGTGTGGGGGGGTGGGGGTCTCTTCTCGTAGCGTGCCGGGGACCACATAATATTGCCTCGCGCCCGAGCCGTGTCCGGCCCACGTGCCGCGAGTTGCCTACTCATGGTTTTCTGGTTTACAATATTGATCACTTATTCAATATCAGTATACCTTGCAAGGATGTTGGCTATATGCATGCAGTGATACATATTTATGTTGGGGGGGATCGGTGGCCGAGTGGGCTAAAGCGCACACCCGGCTCGACGCGCGCGGAGCGAAAGCTCGCGCTGCAGAACCCAGGGATCCTGGGTTCGAGCCCCACCTCTGCCCGTTTCGATCTGGATGAGCATTGTTCCGGCGTGCAGTCGTGTACCACTACTGCGTGGTGCACGTTAAGGGGGGACATGGGCCTAAAGTTTTTATTTTTTTGAAAAAATTCATTTTTCAATTTTGACGTTTTTAGTTTTAGAAACTAATTATACACCCTCACACCAAATTTGATAACCATACGCCAAATATTTACGATGATATAAAATATTTTCAACAGTTGTGAGGCAGTAACAAAGTAAAGGAGTTCAATGTTTGAATGCATTTTTCTCAGTTCCACTTTTTGCTGCAAATTTCATACGAAGGAATCTTTTGTTCGAAGGTGAAAGTGTTCAGATACCACAATCAAGATGTTTCTGAACTGAAATTTACTGGGGAATCGGGCTATCTACTTTATTTTGTTTTAAGTTAAAGTCCTCAGTGATAAAAAGTCAAGTTTTCAAAAATTGACATAGGACAGATTTGCATCTCATATTTTGAGGTAATCACCCTTCCTGAAATATTTACATTTGAGTTATAAAAACTAGATAGCCCGAAGTGCCACATCCCCCACTTTATATTCTAGCAGTCAAAATGGTGCTTAATAGCTTAATTTGCATATCATAGATTTCTTAACAAAGAGTGACACATTTTCTTATGCAGGTATGTAAAGTTGTTCTGGAGAGCTGAAAGTTTGCACAGTACACCTACATCTGACGTTAAATCTCCTCTCTAAATTTCATTCCAATCACTTGAGTAGTTAAGAAGTTCGACCTCTAGCCAGTGTCCCCCCTTAAAGACCCCAGACTAGCGGTTGTACTGCACTGGCTAAATTGCTCATCTACAGCGAGTGACCCGTCGCAACTTTAAATGGCTGACCAACTACATGCTGTATAAATATCCCCATAACCCAACCAATATTTATGTGTCTTGCCTAAATACTGTTGTATTTAAATATAAAGCGGTGTTTGCTCGGACTGTCATTTCAGGCCATCATGGAGACCTTGCATTGTGCAGAGCCGGCAGATCGCAACGTCTTGTTTGTGCCACTCACCCTGCATATGATGACCTATGAGAGCTATGAGACGATAAAGCCAGAGATGAAGGTTGTATACCAAGGAAGCCTTCTCCTGCAGAACTTATTCAAGTTTAGCAAGACTAAGAAGGTGCGTGCCTCCATCGTAGGATAGTTTTGGAGGTTCTTTGCTTTGGAATGTTATTGTTAGCATGTGTCACAATGCAAAGGCTGGAAATTTTTTAGTATCTTTATAAGGCAGAGTATATTCTAGTCCATTTCACATGCCTATAAACTTTGTGTGCTGAAAACCAGTTAAGGTGCTGTACAGTTTTTTTTTTTTTTTTTTTTAAGCTTAACAGATTTGTTTAAAAAGAGCCTTGAAAGCCAGACTTGTGCAGTTTGTGCAGGTGAGTTATATGCACGGGGGGACATATTATAGGGGGCTAATCGTAACGATTAGACGTCTAGTTAAGTAAAATGTGTTAATTAACTTTTTAATTTGGGAAAATAGACATATGGGTCTAATTAGAAACTTGCTGAGCGTCATAGAAAACCACTATATCAATAAATGTTAAAAATACTTCATGGGAAGCGTAGTAGTGCACTGAAGGTACCAATCTTGCATCAGGTACAAGACTGGGGCTATGATAAGAGACGGAAATATTGTGCAGGTGTATTATTGCCACCTGTAGCCTTGCTCTTGCTGCACAAGTGTAACTTTAGTGCACTACTGCACTTCTCGCATGCTCAAAGTCTGTCTAAAAATTACTTATTTAGTGGTTTTCGATGACGCTTAGCAAGTTTCTAATTGGAACCACATGTCTATTTTCACTAATTTAAAAGCTAATTACCTAATTTTACTTAATTAGATGACTGATCATTACGATTGCCCCTATACTATGTCCCCCTAGCCGCATAACTCACCTGCACAAACCGCATAAGTGTAGCTTTCACAGCTTGTTTTTAACAAATCTCTTAAGCTTAAAAAATAACACCCTGTATATCTCTGCTGTGTAACTGTGACTGGCTCATTGATCATACCCTAACCTTGAATTTTGTATGTGTACACAGCTGAATTTTTATTAAGGGTAGTGAACAGTATATCAGCTGTTTGTCCACTAAATTTTTATGGAATTGAGGATATTGTAATGACCTTTCAGTTGGGTGAAAAGTCATCCCAACTCTCATGCGCGAAAGTGTTAGACCGTTACAATTAGTGGTGTTGGAACAGGGGGGGGGGGAGGGGAGGGAGGGAGGGAGGGAGGGAGGGAGGGGGGGGGGAGGGGGGGGGCGGCGGCGGCGACGATTGATTGCCCTTCCCAGATATTTCAGAAATTTAATGGAAAGAATATGGGGAAGGAAATTAAACATAGCCTCCCCCCCCCCCCCCCCCCCCCCCCCCCCCAATCTGTTGAATAGTTCTGTCTCTGGTTACAATGCTCAAAAGTGTATATGTATTTAAAAGCACCAAAAAAACATCATTTTCTCTGGCAACATGAGCTTCAATCAACTGCAATCTAATCAACTTTGAAATCCTCGAGCAATTCCTATTTAATAGTAATACCTTGTATACCAAGTTACAAAGTAGCCTTTAAAACTCCAAGCTATGATTGGTCATATAAAATACTGCCCCCTTTTTTTTTCTTTTCTTTTATATCTAGGTAGTGGATAGTTTGTTGTCCATGGAAGTGAATGCTCTAAAGGCCTTGAGCTGCTCCCCCTCTGGCTCCCATGTCTTGGATGCTTTCATAAAGGGCCCTTCTGTCAGCGACAAGGCTCGAGACAAACTGATCAACAAACTCCGGGTAAATTTCATGCCCTTTTGGAATCCTTAACCATTGCATTAGGCACACTGGGATTGATATTTCTGGCAAGCATTTATAGTCGACTCCCGTTAATGTGACCACCTTCATATTCTTGCCAAAAGTTGTCATAAAGTGAATGTGTTACATTATGCAGTGAGTAATGGGTGAGGGCAGTCTTGGGTAGTAACTAATCACTAGTAATGCGTCACCAGTAACTAGTTACTTTTTTCAGTAACTTGCAGCTGTAACTCGTTGCTGCTTAGTGAAAATAACTTGTAACTGTAACTGGGTTACTATTTTTCAAAAGGAACCTTAGAGAGTAATGTCGTTACAGTGACTTCTCAGATTTATATGCAAAAATATTGCAAACACGACCACCAAATATTTTCCGCCTCACCAAAGAAATGGGAAATTAGAATTGACCAATTGTGAACTCCAGCCATGATTGGATATACTACCAGAGATCTAGACTCTTGCTGTTGTATATGTGTATACCTTATGGTGGTCGCACTTATCTTAAAGTTTTTCATGGATTGTCAGCAGGTATCTCCTAGCTGAACATTTTGACAAAACTATAAAATCGCCTGTATATTTGCCAAAAAAGACACTATAAATGGTTTATCATATTGGATTTACCTTAACACTGCCTTAAATTATGATCTTGTTCAGGGAGCTATTCATGGTAAAAATTGAAATAGCAAAAACCAAACATGGTAATTTTGATTATTGGGAAATACTTAGTTTCTCAAAAAATCATATTCGCTACCGTGAACAACACTGTCTTATGAAAAATCTATGCTAATTTAAAGGAATATTACGAATGACAATTGTTACAAATCACAATTGATGAGGCAATGAAAACTGAAGCATACTAAACGTTTAATGGGGCAAACTTGTGACCAGAACAATATTGAAAAAGGCTAGCGTCGCGGGCATCTATGGCGGCAAAACTGCAGGATCAAGCGCTGGGGCAAGACTGACTCCGGACTGCCACGCGGAGTATCTCTTGTACCCGCGTGGGTTTCTGGAACATTTGACGTATAACGTTTGGCGCGTAGAACATTCATAACTCATTAAGACGACAAGCTTCTCGGAACTTACGGGAATGTCAAGTTGAAAAAAATAAATAAAAGAAAAGTCCGCTCCCTGGAATCGAACCTGGAGCATCCATGCAACAGCCAAGCACATTAACCATTCGGCCACAAACACGCTCGCACAGTGACGCGCGTGGCATTACCCCCCCTTTTAAAAGCGCATTGTCTCAATGCACCTTACCAGGAAACAAAACAGCAAAACAAACAAAAAGAATGGCAAAGTATGAAGGCTTGTAAAACACAGTTCTATCAAGCGTAGTACGGAAACACGGTTCACAGTCCTATTGAGCGTAGTACCGCTTGAGGCGCACGACGTGGATGATTTCCAGCCGTGGAGGGCGGCGTGATGAAGTCCGTGTTCCTACGGGCGTCACCTCCTAGTTCAGGTCCTCGGGTCGACAAAGCACCTTGTAGGGCCCAAAGTACCGTTTTAACAGCTTCTCGCTGAGACCGCGGCGGCAAATGGGTGCTTACGCCCACACTGTCGCCGGGCTGAGAGTGGATATCGCGACAACAAAGGTTGTACCGTCCAGCGTCAGCACGTTGGTCATGAATCCGCAGGCGGGCGAGCTGGCATACCTCCTCGTTGGGTTATCAACTAGGCGTCGTTGGATCCGTCGTCTTCTCGGTCGTGGGGTAGCATAGCGTCGAGCATCGTTGTCACCTTTCTGCCATGCACCAGCTGGAATGGTGTCATTACAGTGGTTCCTCGAACTTCAATGTCGTAGGCAAACGTGACGTACGGCAACAGTTCATCCCATGCCTTGTGCTCAACGTCGACGCACATAGTGATCATGTCGGCAATGTTCCTGTTGAGCCGCTCCATCAGTCTGTTGGTCTGCAGATGGTATGCTGTGGTCCGATGATGTTCGGTGTGGCTTAGACAAAGTATCTCCTGGGTCAGCTGTGCTACGAGTTTTGACCCCCGATCTGTAATGAGGACTTGACGAGCGCCATGTGGTAGGATGATGGACTCGACGTAGAACTTGGCGACTTCCACAGCGGTTCCCGATGGAAGGGCTTTTGTCTCAGCGTATCATGTTAGATAATCAGTGGCTACGATTATCCAACGGTTTTCCAGGGTCCACTGTGGAAAAGGACCAAGTAGATCCATTCTGATCCGCTCTAGCGGTGCAGTTGGCAGAGGAATTGGCTGCAGGAGACCTGTTGGCTTTGTCAGCAGTTTCTTGCATCGCTGGCAGTCGTGGCATGATCGTGTATAGAGGGGGACGATTTTGGGGAGCTTGGGCCAGTAATACTTTTCACGAATACGACTGTAACCAAGGTGTCCGGACGTCGGATTGTCATGACAGGCTTGAAAGATCTCTCGAAGTACTTCCATCACTGCATGGTGGGCCTTTCGAAGCTGCCTAGCTCAAATGGGATTGCTTGTGAGGGAAAGAAGAACAAAAGACTGAGTCGAGGGCCCCACAAAGGATGCAAATGTTGGGGTGCCATTTTCATTGTATTTTTGGTTCCTAAGCTTTTTAGTCTAGTTTCATTTGCACGTGATGTTTGTGGTGTTTCTGATTCCACTGTAGTATCATACGCCTGTCATCATGCCGCGTGCCCTCGACAACAGGCTGGCTGTGTGTTGAGAAACAACAAAGTGTGTTTACTTCTAAGGCTTGCGCTTTGGTTCCTGAGCAGCATGTACTGTAAGAAACACATATCGCCACAATGAATAGAATATCAAAATTGATAGCAGGGCCCTTCCAAGGGTTGTCATATTAACAAAACATGACTAGATTCGAGTGTCCTTGTTTTCTCATGCATTATCAAATATTTTGATAAACCAATCTTAGATTGGTTGTCCATGCAGATTTCTCCTGCACAAATACACTTTCGAAGTAATTAATAGACAAAGGAACAGATATTTGGGATAGCAGTGCTCGCTATTAAATTATCTGTACTTGTTTCAGGGCTGCTTCTGCGAGTTGGCTATGGACAAGTATGGAAGCCGGGTCCTCGATAATGTGTGGGACGTAGCCACATTGAATCAGAAGATAGTAATTGATGAAGAGCTTTCTCAGAAGGAACACCTTTTGACGGGCTCTGCGTTTGGGAGCTTTGCAGTACAGAAATTTGCCCTCTACCACTTCAAGCACCGTCGCAATGAATGGAACCAGCTCCAGAAGAGCAAGAAGAAGGCAATCAACATCTTTCAAAGCATCCTTGAGACAGAATAAAAACTCCCATCACCATTTTGCTTTGCTTTCTTTCTTTTTTTTTTCTTTATATAATTTCTTGGCCTGCCATCAATTGTGTGTGTGGTTGCTTCCCTCATTTGTCTTCATGATCGAGTTGTAATATTATTAAAATAAATTTATATCCAAATGGCATGAACTAAACAAGCATGTAAAAGTGGTCTCCAAAGTTGTTGAAATGTAACTGGTAACTGAATGTCCTACCTTACTACGTCCCTTTTGCTTTCTTAGACACGTATTGGTAGGCAATAAAGCTTCCCAAGTTAATTTATTTAATTTATCTATTCGGTCAACTGTGAGTACACCTGGAAAGAATTCTAAAAATACTTTGCAATGCTCAAGGCTAGTATGGTTCACGGATCAGGTCAGCCTGGCCTCGTCGCCAGATTCTACCTGGAAGAGGCATATTTGAGTGGTACAGTTTTATGGAGGGTGTAGGCGACGGTTGCACAACTACAAAAGATTGTGTCATTGGCCATAAACAGGAAGTATTGCAACTGCGCAAATTTCTGAGATGAACAACACACTGGCTAGCAGAAATAATTTCCCTTGACAACGATGAGTACATAAAGTTTTTGTCAATAAACATCTTTGTCATCATACCAAGGCGAGGAAGTAGGAATAGGAGCAGGCTAGCACACTTGAGAAAAACTTGCTGGAGCAATCGCACCCAGAGGCTTCGATTGCTCCAGTAAGTCAATTGCTTACCTCATTCATGTATGCAATTGACTGCTAGTCTTCGTCCACTTGACATAATAATCTAATAGCGGTACTTTTCTGTGTTATAGAACCTTCTCGGTCTGTCATAACGAACACCGTTCGTGCCTAGGTTCTGCAGCGCTGCTGCTTCGAAATCGCCAGAGCGCTCGTTTCAAGTGTTGGCGCGTGCTATGAGCTCGCACCGGGTTTCGCTTTGCAACTTCCAGAAACGCGTCACAAATATTCAAGTGTGTTTGTGCAACTGCAAAAAAATGAAAACTAATATTTTATTTATTTTAATGGAATACAATTCTAGCAAGGATTCGACCGACAATTTGCCTCGCACCTTCTCGCACGACCCCCTTGTCGTATCGGAATCCTGGGATCTATGGCACGTGATCGATTGAACATGGCCGCGACCGCGATGCTCAAATTTAGCCAGCTGTTTAAATCTGTGAAATGTGCCGTGATTGGGATGATACATGTTAAAGCTTTACCAGGTTCGTTAGAAAGCGTTAGCTTTCTAATGCGGCTTACAAATAAAAAGAAACGACGACGGCTTTATCTCGTTTGCAACTGCATGCCGAAAACCTTTCGCATACGTATGAACGTCGCCTGTTGACGAATTTTCTGTGCAGGGACGCCCTTCAATGATCTGAATTGCTCGAAGCTGGTGGAAGCCGCATGCCAAGAAGCCGCGGTGTACGCACAAAGTGGTTTAGTACGTCAAACGTATGTTTCTTTTGAAAGACCCGACGTCACATGGGGCCACTGAATTGCCCCCTATAGCGCTGCTGTGTCATTTCATTTGATTGTTTAGTGCTTACTGCAAGTACCTAAAGAACATAAATAGCACTGGTTCTTCTATTTCGTCCCCACCTCCTTTCAGGATGGAGTTCTGGTAGAAAATATGTATGATCTGCCTTACGTCACTGCCAAGCACGCTGGGCCCGAGCAAGTTGCCTTCATGACTCGTGTGTGCAGCGAAGTGAAGAAAATGCTTCCAATGCTGCCCTGCGGCGTGCAGCTCCTTGCGGCAAACAACGTAGCAGCCGTGGCGGTGGCAGCTGCGGCTGGTATACTCCATTTCTACTTTTCCCTGAATTCTAGACAAGCAGTATACCAAACTTTATAAAACAATTGCACTAGTGACTAAGCACTGTATACACTGCGAGTGAAATGAGATGGTAACTAAGGGGCTACAATTTCCTGGTGTATTGCCGTCAGTGATTCAGCAAAATGTTATGCATAGCCGCCATGATTTACAATTTTACTAAATGTTTACATATACGAATTCGCCCACATTTTTACCACAGAAATCCTCCTTTCTACATAAGGACATATATTATTTTCGTTTTTCGATCATATGGACGTAATGCCAAGTAAAAGGTGATCAAAAGTGAGCGTATGTTAGCTTTATAGACCTTTTACGGAAATCGCAAGCTTCTCAAAACTTTGAAAACACTGCAGTTTGACCAAACAGCCAGTGCTGTGCAACATGCACTTCTAGAACCACACACAGTTAGTTGCCTTAAAGTGAACATTATACAAGCGATGAACCCGTCCATTCCGCAATGTCTTGCATGCTCCACTGGGCAGCATTTTCAGCTCCAACGCTGGTGAAACAGTGGAATATGCCCTTTACCAAAGCAAGGTCAGGTATAAGCATACCTGGACAGAACGAGTAAGCGTTTGTTTTTTCAAATATCTAAGGCATCACACCTCCATCTGATGGCATCACACAGGTCTACAGTTTGTACGGGCTGAAGGCTTTGTATTCAGCCATGTGGCAGACGAAGGCATCATGGATTCCTGTGCAGGCCAGCTGTTGAGATACAGACGCAACATAGGTGCTGAAGACGTGCTGGTGTTTGCAGACATCAAAAAGAAGCACTGGTTAGCTCCTGCATGCATTTACAAGTGTAGGCTTTTCTCCAGCGCACAACAGTAATGGTTTTCCCCTCCTTTTACAGTGCTCATGCTATAACAGCAGATGTCGGCATAGCAGAAACAGCGAAAGCAGCAGAATTTTTTCAATGCGACGGTGTCATACTTACTGGCACTGCCACAGGCCAACCACCAAGCTTCCCGGACCTCAAAGGTGAAATTCCTTTTGGTGGAGTGCCAGTACAGGGGCTCTCGAGTAATGCCACTTTACAACTATAGCAAATGTGTGCCCTGTACTCCAACCAGTGTGCAGTATTGGAACTGTGCAGGTGCAGCACTGCTAAACGACGCTTTAGCTGGTATTTGTGGTTGCAGTATATTCTCATCAATTTTCAGAAGTGAAGTCTCAAGTTGAAGGCCCAGTATTGCTTGGATCTGGAATCGACGTTGGGAACATAGAAGCTTTCTTCTCTGCCGACGCAGTGATTGTTGGATCATCGTTCAAACAAAATGGACATTGGCGTGGAACTCTAGATCCAGCCAGAGTGAATGCATTTATGAAAAGCATCTACAGGCTTCGCCAGAAAAGTTCTAGTATAAGCCAAAACTGAGACGTGACAGCGAGTAATTAAAATGAATTTTATTTTGAACATACTTTTTTTTCTTCTCAACTTCCCATGTGGTGCGTCTATAAATGTTACTAGTACGGTGCAAGAATTTGTGTTTTGTCAATTTATAAATAACAGTCACACAGTACATGCTCGATCCTGTCCACTTTGTTTTCTCGGACAGTGCTGTTTTCGAGCTCCGTCGACAATTTACAGTTCACAGTCGCTACTGGAAAGAAGACAGCCATTCATCCTAGTTACATTCAGGCGACACCGCCCACACGACAGATGCATAGTGGGGAGACTTTGTGGGGCTCTACCAGCGACACGGTGTGGCAACAGCTGGTAGGTTACACTGGGCAGCTTCTACGTGCATTCTCGACAAACTGACAGTCACAGTTACTGCTCGGCAAGAACTTCACGACCACGTTCCAAACTCTTCGAACGAGTGTTTTCACAGGAAGACCTTTCTAGTCGACATACAAAAAGAGTATTTCTATGCAAATCTTACCCATGGGAAGTGCCCCAAATGTCTGGTTTGATATTGCCACATTCACATACCAATCGAAAGGGTAGAGGTGAGACTGTTAACACAAATTATTTTCAGCAAACAGAAGAAAAAAAAAGTTGTCCAACAACTGCTCTGCTTTGAACCCTTCAATTGTTGCACTATTTCCCATGGATTTGCGCAGCTGTGGCGACTTGCCAACATCACCGAGGATAAAATGACCTGTCCCGAACCAAAAAGCAGTCTGCCTCAGGTCTGGCCAGAGCAACAGCACGACACAACTTGAATCCCAAGAAAAGCCACCACAGGTGCACTCCAACACCCTAAAGTTTTAGCAGCCCCAACACCACCGACATCCTTTCAAGGTTGCTGTGAAGGTTGCCAAAGGTCTTCCAGTCAAGCATGAGAGCTATAGTCTGCAACAAGTCAAGAACAAAGTGGAAGCTCCTCCCACCTCTCTCCACTTTAGCAGAGCGAACGCTGGAGAGGAGGTCACCCCCCGGTCCAGAGTTCACTCTGCTAAAGTGGAGAGAGGTGGAAGGAGCTTCCACTTCGTTCTTGACCTGTCACATACTATAGACATGGACGACGCTTGTTGCCGGCCACGTTTAGCTGACACTTGTAGGGTAACTTGAACACGTTGGCAGTGTGAGCAAAAATACCATGATGCCACATTCCAAGCTTGTCAAAAATCATAAAAGTGTCTCGATGGCAGTATCGTGTCGGTATAGTTATGTGGCTTGGGTTGTATGGTTAAAAGCTTTCGGCCTTTTGTTTTCTCCTTGAGCACTGCCATTGTTGCTATTATTCTGCCTTTGCCCTCCCAAGTTATACAGACTAGACTTTTGGTTGCTTCCTTGCCCTCCTCTTTATACAATATGTACAACTAAAGATGGTGGCAAATGTAACACTTCTCTGTGCAGAGTTCACAGGGGTGTCTGGATGAAGTCGGAGGGTAATATCTATACACTGCTGGGCCAACAGGATGCACAGTTTGCAATGGGTTTCTAAGAACTACTGCACCATCGCGCACCGGTGGCGAATCGGGAGGGCGGGGAAACAAGAGCAGTGCTGCATGCCCAGGTTTTCACTTTGCTGCTGAGATCTTAAGTTCAGCGTCCAGACGCCGAGACGCAGATTGTGAAAGCTAGTGCTACATAGTGCAAGAGCCTGCGGTGGAAAGCACCGAGACACGTGCAATAAACATTACTCATGCCATAATATACTCTATGCACATGAATGCACAGATACACACACAAACGGGCTTTGTCATTCACACGTGGCAGCTTGCCTTTACCACACTGCAAGGCCTAAGACAATGCATAAATTAAAGGTCTTGTCCCAACTCAATTGGGAACAAGACGGCGCGAGTTAAATAAGACGAAATAAAACAAGCTAAAACCTCTGCTGGGACGGATTAGGATAAACAAAATACATTCACCATGTCTCTGGTCTGGGAACCTTTGTTCTAACCAACAGCTTCCGATTTTTCTAGTAAACGCTCTTGCGACTCTGTATTTACATGGCTCCAGAAGTTCAGGAGCACTTCGAACATAGTGTTTGCAAACCTTCTAATTCCACTGAAACTAGATGGTTGCACACAACACAAGAATCGAAGAACAAAAGTTAACATGAAATGCACTCTTTTGTTGGCCTTTCTGGCCAGTCCACATGCACACACCACACGCTGAGAATACCATGAGAAATCCATGCAATCCATCGCTCCTTTGGTTATGTTCCATATTTATTAGTGCTGAGCTGAATGAAAAAATGGGAATTCTTGTACTTTTTTTCTTCAATACGAGTTTGTGTACTGTCATTGTAGCATGAGCCTGGTCTTAAAATTCTACATGTGCCCTAAAATTATAAACCAGCCTTATCATTATACAACCCGTGCAAGTGCAGCTTTTTAAGGAATGATGCATATTGCAGAAATAGAGCTAATGTGTCTCCAGTGGCTGTTGCAATGAGCAAATCCCAGTTCTAACCAACAATTGTCGGGGCAATGTCTCTGTTTTCTGAAGACTGAAAACTTGGGGTAGTCTTAAATTTGGGGAGCTTCAAAGACGCCGTTTTTAGTTGGGTAGTCACATTTTTCGGTGGTGGCAGTGCAAAAGCAAACTTAAGGAATTAGAACATATATATTAAAAAAGAACATCCATACTATTTACACTTCACGGTGCACACGTCTGTGGCGCAGCTACAGCTCTTTCTTTGTATTTAAAGAAAGAACCAAGTGGAAACGAAAAAAGCCACCTGAAAGTTGCTGCTTTTTTTGTTTTTTTCACTCTTTTATGACTTTTGTTGTGCTTTTTGACATTTTTCTTCCTTTTTTTGCCTTTTCTTTTCTTGGAACTACTTTTTTTTTTCTCTTGGCCTCCTAAGTGTGCAAGATTAAAAGGGATAAGCACCACACACTCTTTCTTGCAATTTTTTTTGTTTTGTTTTTTATGTGCACATATAACGAGCAACCCTAGAAAATGGTACCATGTTTTTTGTGTTTTTTTTTTTTTGTTTTAATGTTTATTTTGTTTTTTGTTTTTTCTTCATTTTGAGTGTAAGATCAGCATTTGACAACAAGAGATGGGCTTGCATATAGAACACTATAAAAGAAAGGTATGCCGATGATGTTTATAACGGCAGACTGTTTAGAACAAAAATGGGCGAATGGTAAAACATTGACTATGAGAAACTTTGTTGTGTGCAAAGTAATTCTCACAAGAGTGAATTGGATAAAATAAAACTTTCAGATGACTTCCTCTTCTCTGTAGACTCCTTCCCCCCCCCCCCCCCCCCCCCCCCCTTTCCCATCCCCCCAAAAATTTGCAACAAAACCACCAAGCTAGAATGCTGCATTACAAAACAAAAAAGACTTCAGTTCTAAATTCTGTCAATTCCTCAAACAAAAACTGAAGACCCATTGTATAAGGTGTTTCTGTGCTCCTGGCGTTTCATGTCTCCTAGCCACATTGAGACAATAACAGAAAAGTTAAAGCAATGGGGTCGAGCTAAATGTGTCCATGCATGTTACACAGGCAGCCATTTACGCTTGCCTGCCAACAGAATTGGGCATGTAAGCTCCAATGCTGCTGCAGCATACATTCTGTATGACCCCAATTTGCTGAAGTGACACCCAAAGTACCACTACTATAACTAATCAGCATTGCCACCGAGTTAACTGGGGGATGAAGAAGTCACACGGACACCAAGCCCAATGTGAAATTAAAATAAGTCATTGGGACAGTGACGTGCTCAAACAAAAAGTTAACCGAATACACAAAAGTTTAGGGAAAAGCTTTGTAACTTGTTCTCCAGGAGTGACTATCTTCGGAATCGATTCCTTCATTGCATGGCGGCTCGGGGCTTACATACTACTTTCGAAATTTAATTTACCCGCATCCACTTTTCCTATCGTACCCAAGCGACAATGCGCCTCATCTCCCAAAGCAGACTTTCAAGGTTAAAGACTTTGTTTTCCACAGGATGCAATCAAAACTACCCTTCAACCAGAAACCTTTTTCATTATCAAGAGCCGTACCACCAAATGCACAGCACTCTGCTATGGTTTCAATGCTCCAAAACATGCAGAATATGACCCCCCCTTTGTCTCCAGCACGCAACTTTTCGGTTTCCCTGTTTACCCTTGGAGAATATTAAGAATGTTTACCACGAACTGTGACACGGCACAGGTACAACGCCCTTGAGATCGTCACGTTTGTTGCATGCTTTCCCAGTCGTCCCAAACATGAGGGCAGGATAAAATGTCCTCTCGCTGTGTGGTTTTACACTGGGCTCGAGCTATCGGAGGCAAGCAGTTTAATGCACACAACTGCACTCTTGCATCTTCCCTAAAAGAAAGAGGAAGGTTCGGGAAACAAAATCGACATGTCCCTGGTACAAACGCATGCTTTCCTTTCCGTGGGTGTTCTAAGTCAGCTGTGCTCGGGGTTAGCAGCAGCACTTGCGGTTGTTGTTGGCCCCCGAGCGCCGTGTGGCGACCCGGTCACGGCGCTTGGGGTGGTGGTTGCCCGCCTGCGCCGTACGGTTCTGCCGCTCCAGCTGGGAGCGCCGCAAGTGGCGCTGCTCCCGATGCACCTGGGCACGCTGACCTGGGCGCAGTGCTTCTAGCTGCTCCTGCCAGCCTGCACAGCCATCGCACATCGTTTTAGAGTTGCTTGCAACGTGGTACGCTGGGTGAAATGGACGATGTGAAGAAGCCGATTACATTTTGAAGCATGAAATGCAGTCTACAGTGGGACACTTTTATGAGGCATTTGGGTTAAAAGGTCTCTGGGCATTGTCACTCATTAGGCTCCTTCTGTAAATTCAAGTGATAGGGCCTCCGCGTCTTCCAAGTTGCCAGCAGACGTGGGAAACTTGAGCTGCTTGTCGCATGAAGTGCCAGGATGGAACAGCTGTGCCCACCATTGCCTAGTATGTTTCAAATGACTTTGCATGCACTGGCTCGATACAAAAGAGAGAGCAAGGGTGAAATTATACTGATGTGCATCTTGACACTGCCGTTCCAAATGTGCAATAATATAGAAAAAATTTGACAACGCTTGTGTTTTTCACTTTATGCATGAGCCAAGCTACAAGCACGAGCCTGTTGCACTGAATGATGCTTCCAGTGCATGAGCGCACGTGCATGGTAAGGACACTGAAAAAACCGAAACTCGCACTCGTAGGTTCTCATATACGCTCGAACTTAAAGTGAAACGGACTATTAATTACCAATAAAAAGAGTCGGCTTAGGTAGCGAGTCCACTGCAAGGAGGACTGTAGAAAGACCACCAAGTTTTGGAGGCTGCACTAGTGGCCACTGAAATCATTCTCTTTAGCATTTTATAAAATATGCTCCACAATGCAGTTTTTCTGTTCCCCACATTGCTCCAAAGTCCTGCCCTACAGTTTTGCCCTTTGTCGAAGCAATGCCAAGCAAACCGCAGAAGTACTCACCTGCCCTGGCTGCGAGGGCAGAGGGCCGGGGACCCGGCATCGACCTCCCGGTCGTCAGCACCTGGGCGGCGTGACCTTCAGGCGCTGCCACGGACACCACGGGTGACTGCAGTGCCGGCTGACTCTCCGCTTCGCCATCCTTTCGCGCTGCGCCGAGTCCCCGAGACTTGCGCAGCGCTGCGGGTACGGCCCTCGGACAGGGCCCATACACGCTCATGCTGGGGTGCTCGATGAGCAGGTTCTCCAGTGGCGAAGTCTCCAGGTGCACGGGACGCCGTGCCACGAAGCACGGCGGTGGTGTCACATACCTGGACGGAACGAGACAGGTGGTAGATTTTGGCAAAGTGCAGGTAGGAAGTATGCCGCTACTCAGCTGGAGCCCGAGCTTCTGCACAAAGTGGTAACCAGCCAAGGGATACCAAGGTGCAACGAGGGTCAGAGAGCTCACCAGCTGCCATCCATGGGGCAGGGGCTGGAGGGAGGTGTCACCTCCGTGGGAGAAGATGCAGACGAGTCGACGACTCCAACAAAGAGCAGGGCAGGCAGCGAGCGGGGACCCTCCGCTGCAGCCTCGCTGCTGCGCTCCATGCACGCCTCCTCGGGCTGCGGGCTGGGCTCCAGCCTTGCCTCGTCGCCTTCTGCATGCCGGACAGACCACGAGGTTTTCCTCTTCAGACGCGAGACTATAGTCAACCGAAATGAGAGCTTTCCATTCAACAAAAGTGCAGTGTGGTTTTTCCTTGAGAGCAGGGAACTCTTTAAAGGGGTTAGGACATGAAAATTAGATAGCTAGATCATTCTTGAAATGGAATGCTCATTGGTTACTTAATATATGCACCAAGTTTTGCAATTTTTAGAGCTCTAGTAATTGCAATAATAAATTTACGAATGTTGATAATTTTCGTCTGGCAACCAGACAACACTGCCCAAGTTAGTCGCGCCGGTGCCCATAAACCACGTGATGAGCATATTTAGTTGGACGCTCTCTCCCTCTAGGCGCCCCCCCATGCTCGCCCAAGCTCGCCTTGCCACGTTACGACTGCATACTCTCACGCTACTTGGCTACTCCAAAGTATACTCTTGCTCGTGTCCCCTTGCCCTTTGATCTTCCACTCTGCATGCACGTGCGCGATCATCGTGGGCGACGACGAGTTCGTCCATTACGATCTCGTCGTCGTCGCTGGAACTGGTTGCGAGCCGGTTGAAGTCAGAATGACCAGCTTCCAACATCTTTTGACAACATCACTCTCATTGCTGCTGCGATTAGTGTTGAAGACTCAGACGAAGCAAGTGATGTTGTAGACGTCACCGCCTCAAAACCGCGTGCTCAAAACGCAGAAGGTAAACATGGAAGTTGAAGCGCAAGATGCAGAGGAAAGTCAAGTCTGCGAGTGCGTACAAGGGGACGCCACACGTTGGGCGGATGATGTCACCGATCCGACCGACAAACACGGCAGCATTTTTGAATGGGATGGATCCGAGGGTTCTGTATATAAATTGATTTACCCACGAAACTATTGTGCCATTTTCAAAACAAATTTAGCAGGATTATAGGAACATACAATGAGTCCTAGCAGTATAGTTATCTCATATTTTTGGCGTGCCCTAACCCTAACAAAGCTGCTTAAGCTGTATGGCCCCGAGGAGAGAATGTTTTGTGAGCTTAGGATGCCCCTGTCTGATCATCTTGCTTTCCGACTCTCGACATTGTATACTTTCTTTCTCTATAACAAAAATTTTACAAGACATCGGTGGACAACTTTAATAAAAAAGTTAATGCATCTTAATCCTATGGACAAAGCTGGGAGATACAGAGTGTGCTGCAGAAGGATATATTTTTCTTATTATTAATTATCATTAGCAATTAATATTAGTAATTAATAATAATTAGTTAGCAGGACTTCTTCAATTTAGCTAAGTTTAGTGGGTGTCCGCTATATTTAGGGAACATGTCACAGTTTTTCATGGCAATCTTTCGTAATCTTACGTCCATCTTATGGAAACCAGGCCTCTAACACTCCATTAAGAAGCGGAAGAAGGTGTATCAAGATGTTGTGTCCTTTGCTAAAATTCGGCACAAAAAGGTTAAAAGCTATGGCCTCCAATGCTGACACAAAATAAGACACTCCAAGAATGCAGATACTTGCCTGAACACTCAAGTGCTGCAGCTTTCTTTTAGAACTATGTTCCGACGAAGTTAAACAAACTCCAATTCACTCAATATTTGCTGTACCATACTGCCGTAAAATTCCGAGGGATGCCCCACCCCCTAAAGGTAACCCACCCCCGTTTTTGGGCTTGATTTGCTTTTTCCTTTTAAAGCGCGTTCCCACCGGCGATGCAATCTAGTCGCGTGATAACTTTCATCGCAGAAGCGACCATCGCAGACAAAAAGCGATGCGATTTCAGCAGTTGCTACTCGACCCGACTTTTGCGATGCGATCTCGTCGCGGAGCGGCTGAGCCAATCAACGGCATTCGGAGCGAGAGTTTTCGAGAAACGACTCGCCAAAAAGGGGGCATTGGACTCGCTCATTGCGCACACTGGTGTGACCATCTAATTTTTTTGCGATGCGATCTCGTCTCATTGCGCGACTGCTTATATCGCTGGTGGGAATGCGCCTTTAGTTAGCTATGGTGGGATATAATGTATCTAGTTATAGTGTCTAGTAAGCTATGGCCAGATATAATGGAACATTGCTGACTGGGAAGTACAGTCATCTTTGCTTCAACGCCCCTCACCACAATAATATGTTTGGCAGAAACACATAATCTAAAAATAGCATGTTTTCAACTTTTCTTGATTGCACACCGAAAGTTAGCCCACTTCTTACAGATTTTTTTCTCGATTTTAGGTGGGCTATCTCTCGGGATACTACGGTATTCCACAGAAGGACCCACATGTCTTCAGCTCGGGTACACCTGAAGAACTAATGGGCCACATGTTGCAACATCATTGCGAGGAAAACAGTCTCAACCAGGTCACTCAAAGTAAGGTGTTAATTCACATAAGAAGAGTGCACGGTCTTGGACCATGTTTCGTTGCAAAAGGAAAAACGGGGAAGCTGGGTAAGGCTCAAGAACCCCAGAACTGCCATTCTATGCTATCAGATATATTCTCAACAGAATTGCTGTTCCCATTGGGACAGTCAATAAAAGCACCCCAGAGCAAGGGGGCTGCACACGATTAGCACAGTGAGCGTCTTTGGCCCGCATGTATACCTGCGACGTCCACGAGGAGCCAGTCGTCCTCGGCTTCCATGGTTCGGTAGCTGAGCTCATCATCCGCCGTGGGGGTGGGGGCGTTGAGGAAGTAGCTGGCAATGCCACTCAGCATGGCTCAACACGAACACCACTCGTCTTGCACACTGCACACGGAGGATAGAACACATGATTTTGGAGGAGGACTGCATAACTCATATTCCTTGCAGACCCTATTTGTTTGCGTTAAAATTTCGAAGCATTTTGGGCTGGTTCCACTTACGGTGAAATGTAAAATATAGGGTCGGTAGGTGTCTGTCAAACGCGCTGGACGTTTCACAGAGCATCGGCCAAACTTGTCCTGCAAAAGCTATGCATCACGGAGAAAAACAATTGGTGGCGTATTAGTCACTGCCGGGGAGCCAATTTTGCGAGGTATGTAGCGTAAAAATTAGTAAAAATAAACCTCGGGTTTTAATTAGAAACTTGCTGGGCACCATCGAAAACCACTAAATCAGCTAATTTTAGGAAGACTCCAAGTCTTACTAAAAAATCCGAAGAGTGGTGATGTGCAGATGTTACTGCTTATGCTACAGGTACAAGGCTAGTAAAACAAAAATGCAAATAATATTTTAAAAAAAAGAAAGTGCGGGCACGTTGAAGTTGGATGCATTTTTGGGATCTAGAAAAATGAAGCATATTATGTGCTCCAAATCCATCTAAAATTGACTGATTTAGTCGCCTTCAATGACTCCGATCAAGTTTTTAATTGGAACTACCTGTTCATTTTCACTAATTAAAAGGGTCATTATAAAAAAATAATTTAACTCTTCATTATCTTGAATGGTAAGTAGTTGAATAGCAAGGCTCCTGGATGGTGACCAATCTGGTACCTATTTTATTTAAGTGCAATGCATGGTTTTATGCCAAAAGTTTGGCTAATGCTTGGCGAAATATCCGTTATATACCGCACCATTTTTAAGACTTCCAATCTCTCCAAACAGTTGTATATTTTCTCTAGCTATGTTATATACCAGTTTCTCCACAACCTTCATTTTCTCTCTCTTTCTCCCTCAATCATATCGGAACTGCTCTCTGCTGTCACTATATAGATTCTCACTTCTCCGACAACATGCTGCAAAGTGCAGATTACACCTCTGATGACAGCTTATACTCGGCAATTAATTGGTTGAATTTTGAAGGGGAAAACTTGGTGTTTGTCACTGAGCTAGAACCACAACTTTTTCCTTGTACCTTTTATGTTGGTTTGGCATTATCAAGTCCTCCAACAGATGAAACCAAAAAATCAGTTATGCAACCACAAATATGCAGCACTACAAAGAATCTATTTCCAAGATGTGCTTAAATCAAGTAAACACCCTGCAGGGCAGAACAGATTATCCACGTAACGCTTACTCACTCTGAATAGGCTCTGGCAAAGTAGTTTTATGCAAGTGGCAACAGCCTATGGCCAAATTTTTCTCAGAATTGAAGTGCCTGCATCTGAATTGCACCTGCTCACATCACGAACAGATGGTACAAGCCACATCATGGAAATGTTCATTATAAACAGCTGTTTTAGTGGGAAACTCCCGGATGTTCCACTTGCACACACTTTATTCTGTATGTATGTAATAGAATAAGAAGTATTTAGTCTACCTAGCGGCACAGAAATATTTTTTAAATAAAATTTTGAGTCACATATTTATACTAACAGCCTGGTGTGCGTCAATCGGTTTCCCAATCAAATTTTACTTCGTCACTCATGCAGAGGGAGTCGCGCTTTTTGGTGGTCGCCGCGACCGACCGAGCGGCGCGACTATTTCCGTCGCTTGACTCCTGCTCGCAAATTATAGCGCGCGGCTTTTTTTTTTTTTTTTTTTTTTCCCAACGAAACTTGCGTCCTTGGCACACAAAGGGGAGACGACGACGTGGGAGGAACGACATGGCAACACGGCCACTGGACGTCGTCCACTCAATGCTACTGCTGCGATCGAAACAGGCCGCCCCGAGTGGCGCACGACAAAGTCGCTCCATTCAGCGCGCCCTCGCTTGCAAAAACTCAGCCATTCCAAGAGAGAGAGAGAAAAAAAAAAAAAAGAGAGAGAAAGACTAGGATAAAACGAGCTGCCTGTGTAGCCGTTGCGAAAGCTACGAGAAGACCTACCGACATCGGAACATGGAAGCGAGCGTTGCGAAACTGCTACAGCTGTATAAACTGGGCATCCAAAGAAGCCCACGAATTATTTCACGCGTGCGTACGAAAGTCTATTTGTATCTGGATTTGTAAAAACAAACCTGTAGCACCAGCAAAAAAAAAAAAAAAAAAAAAAAGAGGGAAAAATAAAAGTTACATATGAATGACCAGCGGACCGCACCGTTAATGCAAGCCAGACCCTAATTTTTTGCAAGATTTCTCTTTTCTTATAAAAAAATACCAAAAGGTAGCCCACCTCTAATAATTGCTGGGCCCTGCCCAATGGTGACCTCGTCATAAATGTTGTTACTTAGCCACGACGGGAGATAATCGAACATTGCTGACTGGGAAGGAAGTCGTCTTGTTTATCGCCCCCCTCCCTGCAATCACAACTTTCGCAGGCCGCAAAATATAAAACTAGCAATTTTTCAACTTTTTTTTTTTTTTTATAATACACCGAAAGTTCGCCCACCCCTTTTCACCCGACTTGCTTTCGTTTTTAGGTGAGCTATCTTTCGGGATATAACGGTAGGCTTCCACAGTGGGGTGGGAACAGGGAAGGGGGCGGTCGCACCTCGCCACCCCTACCCCCACCCCTCAACTGCCAAACACTTCTGACGCCACTGGACTTCCCGCAGACGAGCAGAATTTTGAGAGGGAGAAAGTCGATCGGTCAATCTTTGGCCCCCACGATATGGCTTCACCTCCTGACCGGGCAGTCTCCAGGGGAAGCGAACCTCGGTGGCCGATAAGCGCCCAACAAAGGGCAACGGGTCACATAGCGATAAGAGCAGCTGCTTGAAGCGTCCTAAACATCGAAATAATCACCTAGGGTGCACGAGCGCTGCACGTGTTGTGTGGGGTGAACCCCCTGTAAAGAGCACACGGCTCGAGGCTGCGTCTCCAAAACCCAAAATGACCGCACGGCCTGTGTCAGTACAAGTAACAAAACTGATGTCATCACTTTATTTATTTATTTTTATAGATATATCTTTTATGTGTAAATTTTTATTTTATATGTGGCGTTTGGGCGTACCAGTAGATCAAACGCAACACACTTAGCCTCGTGTGCTTTGTTCGCGCACCGAACTGCCCCGAATTTCCACGAGGCACCTGCAGCCGTTAACAAGCCATTCACATTTCTATGTTCTCATTTTAAAAGCTGTCCAGCGAATTGCTATGATTCGTGCACGTTGCCATCGCAACAAATCAATTAAAAAAAAAAAAAAAGAGAGAGAGAGAGAGAGATATGAAAGCGCGCGAACCAAGCGGACGTCATCGGACAAAGAAAGCGACGACATTGCGAGCTGGCCAAAACGGCAAACACAAAAGCTGAAACGGCACAAGCCGGAAACGCCAACGGCAAATCCTCCTCGCAAAGGCATTACAATAACAGCAACAAACAAAATGCGAAGCAAACGAAAAAGATTCGCAATCTAAAGCGGGCGACCTCGTACATCGGCCATTATAGAAACACAGAGCCTCCCCCTTTCCTTTTTATATATAACAAACTAACAGAGTAGGCTCCTGCGTAGGTCGCGCAGGAGCTCAACGCAACTGTGACGTGTCACACTCACGTGACCCAACGCGGCCAATGGCGGGGTCGGATCTCGTCGTGGACGCGTGATCAAAGGTCAACGAACTGCAACGCCACAAAACACGCCCGCGCAAAATTCGTGATGGGCGCTGGGACAGGCGAAAGTCGCACAACGAAAAGCAAGAACGGAGAGCTCTGCGTCGTTCGCAGGAGATATGGATGTCGGCGGATTGTAAATAAAATAGTGCGGACGTCCACCGGGGTCCTCCTTGCGAAGTCAGCAGAAAAGAGCTAACCGCACGAAAACAACGCCAACCAATATTATATACTACGTACGGTGGTGTGAGTATACGCCAAGAAACGTATTTCTCCTCTCGCTCTGTATATTTCTTCCTTATACTTATCAACATACACAGCGAGAGAGAGAGGGATAGAGAAGTTGGACCTAAATTTTAGCGACAATCAAAATACGACGAAGTGCGCAGCCCCAATTCAGTTTACCGTTGATATTCTTCAGAACTTGGCTCCGCATCAGTACAAAGTAGCCACAGCTCCCGATAGTCTCTCGCGGCTCGAGGTATCTTCACAGTCATTTCTCTGGCTCGACCACTCACCCCTCGCCACGGGATCCTGCCTTTTTATCGCGCACTCGGCGGGCCTAGGCTATCGTGCACTTCCGTTCACCCCCCCCCCCCCCCCCCTCTCTTTTCTCTTCGTCCCCGCATTATGTCATCACCCCTACCGGTTTCACGTGCCCCTCCCTCGATCCTTTCTACCTGCGTCTCGGACTGTCGACATCGTCACCCCCTCGCCGTAAGCGGGAGTGGCCTGGTCTTGACATCCAACGAAGAAGGGAGATTTCGAAACCGGGCAGCGGCAGCGAGAATGGCGGGAGAGAAAGAAGACGAACGCTTGACCACGAAGAACTAGCGATCACGTCGGAGAAAAAAGAAAAAAACAAAAAAAGGCTATCGAGCATGTGACATTGGCCAGACAACGCAACTCGTCCCCGAGCGCGTAACTTGCCCTTCTCGTTTGGACATTAGTAGGTCCTGGTTTGGACAACATCGCCCGATTGAATGCTGAGATAGGATGCATCAATGTTACTGCTGAGCCGGCGACATTCAGGCACTCTAGACGCCTGGGGTCATCGTGCCTAGGTATTTTGTATTTGTCATTGCTTGGCTACATGCAGTGCTTTTTCTTTCTCGCACTGTGATCGTTCGATACGACGGGTTACGCCGCCATAATCAAATCTAATCCAGGGGCGTATTTTAAGGAAGGGGGAGGGGGAGAGAGAGGGAGAGAGAAGACCTTCCCCTCCTCTCTTTGAGTCCCCAAGAACAACTTTTTATGAAAAGGAAAAAAAAAAAACACGACACACAGCAGCTTTTTTGGGGAAGAAATGTTTTGTTTTTGATGAAATGGCAAAT